CCTATAAAGTGTACTCCCCATCTAGTCTACTCCCTATGAAGTGTACTCCCTATCTAGTGTACTCCAAGTGTACCCCCTATCTACTGCACTTCCTAGTGCACACCCTATAAAGTCCACTCCCTATGAGGTGTACTCCCTATCTAGTGCACTCCCTATCTAGTCTACTCCCTATGATGTGTACTCCCTATCTAGTCTACTCCCTATGAAGTGCACTCCCTATCTAGTGTAATCCAAATGTAGCCCCTATCTACTGCACTTCCTAGTGCACACCCTATATAGTGTACTCCCTATGAAGTGCACTCCCTATCTAGTGCACTCCCTAGTGCACTCCATATCTAGTCTACTCCCTATGACGTGTACTCCCTATCTAGTGTACTCCCTATGAAGTGTACTTCTATCTAATGTACTCCCTATGAAGTGTACTTCCTATCTAGTGCACTCCTAGTGTAATACCTATCTAGTGCATTCCCTATCTAGTGTACTCCTAGTGTACCTCCTATCTAGTGTACTCCTAGTGTACCCCCTATCTACTGCACTTCCTAGTGCACACCCTATATAGTGCACTCCCTATGAAGTGCACTCCCTAGTGCACTCCATATCTAGTCTACTCCCTATGAAGTGTACTCCCTATCTAGTGTACTCCCTATGAAGTGTACTCTACTCCCTATGAAGTGTACTTCTATCTAGTGTACTCCCTATGAAATGTACTCCCTATCTAGAGTACTCCCTATCTAGTGCACTCCCTATGTAGTATACTCCCTATCTAGTGCACTCCCTATGTTGAGTACTCCTATCTAGTGTTCTCCCTATGAACTGTACTCCCTATCTAGAGTACTAGATAGGGAGTACACTAAATAGTATACTATACTACATAGAGAGTACACTAGATAGGAGTGCACTAGATGTATGTGTGTGTGTGTGTTACAAAAAGAAGAATGACATTTAATAGCTTGACCTAGTTACCAAATACACAGTCATGAAATCATTTGGTTCGTAAAAGGCGAGTTTGTCCTGAGTTTACATTAGGGAACGCCATGAGGGCAAGTTGAATCATGTTAGAATGAACTATTTCTAAAACTGTTGTTAAAGCTCTTTAATTCCTTCCGTTCCTCTTTGAGTTTAAATCCCAGACACCGGAGGGTACCGGCACAAAACATGGCTTTAATCGCTGTTCTAGGCCACATTGCTTTGCCCGAATCATTTCCTGAGTGCGCTGAGTGGGTTTACCTGCTTGAACCAGGTGGCCCATGGTGGGGAAGCGCTTGTACACAGCGGTGCTGATGGAGCGGTAGATCAGGATGCCGGACAGATTAGCGTAACGCATGAGACTCCTGCGAACCAGTCTGGCCCCTTCATCTGCGCCCCGGACGTGTCCACTGACCAGCGCTGACAGGCGGTCCGTCCACGGGACGCTCTCGAACTGACCCCACCAACGAGACACCACAAGAGTCACGTAGAAACCTGCAGGAGTAATGCTGATTTTTAGAAGATCCTACTTCCTTTAAGAAAATGACAAAACCCTTGAACTCAAAGGTTTCTAAAACAAAGAGTTTTTTTAAGGAACCTTTAATTTTTAATATTATTTATATATTAATATTTATGTTATTTATATTTTGTTTAATATTGACAAAATGTAATATTGTATTGATTTGTGTAGCCTGATTCAATCTCTTATGATGTCAGTTTAGTTTTAATATTTTTCTCTTCTAACTATCCTTTCATTTGCACAAAAAAAATACATTTACCCAGAACGAAGGACACCGGGATGAGTTGAGCGTATTGATCACAGTACATGGAGAGCTTCTCAAACATCCTGCGCTGCTCTTCAGTCAGAATACACCTGTCAATCAAACATCAAACAGTGCATGATTTTATTGAGGCTTTTATTATATAAAAATAGTCAAAGTAAAGCCTTTTGACACTCTGGACTGAACACTAGCAAAACAAATATATGATCACTTTAAAAAAAAACTTTTTTAGATCAAGTTTTTTGAACATGTACCATATGACCAAAAGTCATGGTATATATGAAATAGCCTATAGTAATTTTTTTAGTACCCTGGTAATATTAAAGTATCATAGTATTACTGTTTTTTTTTAACCATTGAATTTTAAAAAATATTAAAAAAATATATATATATACTGATTTTTTTTTTTAAAAAAGTACCGGGGTAGCATCATGGTGCAATTATGGTATCATGTTACTTTGAAATATACCATTAGTACTGAAATTAATGTACTATGGTATTTACATGGTAGAAATACTATACTTATCTACCACTATGGTAAATATAAACATGGTGATGGCATTAAATTATTTGCATTAGCTTAAAAACGTGAACATACCACGGTAATCATTTACTACCATAGTATCAAAGTACCCTGGTATCATCATGTACAATATTAACTAATGCCATGGTATATCAATAGCCTATACAGTAATCATTTAGTACCCTGGTAATATTACACGATTTTTTTTACCATAGTATTCTTTAAAATATCATTTGAAGTGCCAAAAAAGTGCATTTTACAAATGTTACATCTGTAGAGTTTGTTCTGAAATTAATGTATCATGTTTTTTCCATTCAACTACAAATGGTAAATGTAAATAAAAATAAAAATAAAATTAAAATAAAAACCAGGTAATCTCATGTCCCCCCAAACATATGATAGCACTTTTCTGTACAAAAATATCCTGTGGTGGTACCATGATGATATCAGATGGTAATATTTTGGACGTGGTACCATGATATTCTTGGAAAAACAACAACAACAACATGATTTGTAGGTCATTGAATATCATGGTACATATCAAAGCACCACAAATACCCGTGATAGCATTATGTTACAATAGTAGCACCACTAAACCGTAGTAAAGAGGTGAATGGTCAGTGTTTACCTGTACGTGACGCTAATAGTGCAGTACATCACAGTGAAGATCAGCAGCTCTCGATACAGCAGCTTATAGATGCTTCCCTTCCATCGCAGCAGGAGACGATAAAAGGTGCCCAGACGCGCGTCCGAGACCTGCTGTGAGTACGTGACCGTCATCTCTGACGAGCCTGACCTTTCACCTTCAGTTCTTACAGAGAAGGATGGCTCAGCACTGAATCACAGTGCACACACACACACACAGATCACATGCTAGTTTGATGATAGTTAGCATGCAGCATGGGTCAAATGAAGCAAAACTAGCTTTAAAAGAGAAACACAAGACTGTGAATCCAGTGTAGCAAATGCAACTGCTTACTATTCCTCGATCTGTAGGCCTCAAATAAGAGATAAGCAACTCTACTCACAGCGTGTGAAGTTGTGTGAGTTGTTAACAAGGAAGGATGGAGTCGAGGAGAACATCGAGACGCCCACACCTCCGGTCACTTGACCTGCTAATCTGTTTTCCACGCACTAACAAAGAGGCATTGTGGAAAACTGGGGGGGTTTGTTAATCTCAGCAAATCTTTCAAAACACAAGCACAAACACACACACATATTCAATAAAGTCGTGCATTAATTGCAGTTATGTGATGTAAATATGATATTCATAATCTCAGCCACTCCTAAATGATGATCCATGAGGAGTTCAGGCTCCATTAAACGCTTTGTGATGATGAGGCCTCAGCGGGGTGTTTTGGGACTCTGTGTGGCGCCCTCTAGTGGAGGAAATGCCCCGGTGCGTTTCATTAACCCCTGAGCTGGGACTTCGGTCAACCAATGTGAAGACTTGCAAACCGCTCTCGAAACAGCTTCTGAGGGAGAGTTTGACGGAATGAGAGTGCAGGAAGACACACACTGCGGTAAGACTGATTTATCTGATGCGTTCTGTGCTTGTTTTTGACATGGAAAGGACTAAGACTTGTTAATGCATCTGATAATGTATGGCACAATTAAAAATGATACTTTCTCTGTTAAAAAAGCTACTATAAATGTTACTGACTGCAGGATTTAGTATTATTATTTCTTCATTTAATGTAATAATGTTTATTTTTGAATACCCAAACATATGTATATATAATTTATTATCAATGTAATACCATGGTATTTTTATAATTAACTTGAAAATACCATGGTAATCAGTATATATAAAAGCACTGTGGTATCATGTTTATATATATATATATTAATATTTTGATGGTTCGATTGAGTCATTAAAGGAGTAGTTCACTTTTAAAAAAAACTTTTGCTGATAATTTTCACCCTCATGTCATCCAAGATGTCCATGTCTTTCTTTCTTCAGTCGAAAAGAAATTAAGGTTTTTGATGAAAACATTCCAGGATTTTCTCCATATAATGGACTTCAATGGGAACCAAACGGTTAAAGGTCCAAATGAGAGTTTCAGTGCAGCTTCAAAGGGCTTTAAACGACACCAGACGATGAATGAGGGTCTTATCAAGCGAAATTTAAAAAATAAATAAAAAAAGTTTAAGCACTAAATGAACAAAGATTTGTTCATTTTGATGAACGAGTTCGAACAGGAGAGTCACGCCAGGAGAGTCCAAGGCGAGCGTTTGTGCTTATAAAACTTAAACTTTGTTATTTATTTATTAAATGAGCGATCGTTTCGCTAGATAAGACCCTTATTCATCGACTGGTGTCGTTTAAAGCTGCACTGAAACTGTCATTTGGACCTTGAACCGTTTGGACCCCATTGAAGTCCATTATATGCAGAAAGTCCTGGAATGTTTTCATTAAAAATCTTAATTTCTTTTCAACTGAAGAAAGTCAAATATCACCTCCAGACATCACTTTTGACAACTACTGTAAAATAAATAATAAGGGTAAATGTGCTGGATCGACCATTTGTCCGTTTCTATGGTTAAATGCTTTCCGTTTGGTCTCTCGAGAGAATGTTTAACTGTGGCAAACATGGTGCAATGCTTTAGTTACACTTTGATCAACTGAATGGAAACTAAGGCAGGAATAAACTACAATGTCTCTGAGCTTGAAAGTAATCTCTTGTGTCTTTAACAGGCTGGCTGAAGTGAACACTCTAAGTGTGTGTGTTTGAGTGAATATACTTTTCGTGATGGACATTTTTGAAGGAATCCACCGTGTGCAGCTCTCCTGCTCTCCTCCAGCACGGCCCCGGTCTGTCCCAGGGTACGAGCTGCTGGTGGCAGGGAATTCTGGGATAGCAGTGTACTCCTCACCCACGTTCTTCGGGAATGCTGATCTTACGGATCAGCACACGGCAGAGGGAGAGAGATGTCCGGTCGGGAGGTACGTCCAGACTTCACCTAAGCAAAAATACCAAAGCAATACTATCTTTGTTTCGATGGCTTTGTGTAAAAACTGTTAAAAAATGGTGACAAAGCAAAATCTTCCACCCACAATTATTTTAGAGAATGAAAAAAGAGGATGTAATCTCTAATTCTGCTGAATACACAGAACTGTACACACAATATCAATGTGTGAAAGTCAGTCAGAAATTATAAACATAAAAATAATAAAAACATAAAGCATAACAAACAGAATGGAACAAACATTACATAAAAGAACTATACAAACATTATAATACAAAATACAAAAATCACAGACCAAACATGTTAGATCTGAACAAACAACATGGGCTAACATAAATAAAAACACGGGCACATCACGTGATTCCTGGATGCCTCCACTGAGTCATGTGACCCGTGATTGACAGCTGGACATTTTTCCTGCTCAATCTCAGAGGAAAGTCTGTCTGACTGTCCTACCCAAAACAAAGTCAATCTAAACACCGATTTCTCTGTCGGATCCGGATTACGGAGTGTTTATCTGATCAGATTTCTGCTAGATCTCAGTCGTGTTCGGGAAACCGCTGCGGGATCTACTGGTAATTCTCTTACTCTTGATTTCAGGAAGCGAAGCTGCAATTCTGCAACACTGTTAACTTTGGTAGTTCACTTTGTGATTGTTTCTGTGTTCGTGTTGTCGTCAGACTCAGCGGGTCGCGGCGAGTCCTGTAGCCGGGCGAGGGGAGGGGAAGGGCGGGGAGTGCACACGGGAAATGCCGCGACTGCCACGGAGCGATGACTTACATAAACAGGGCTGATTTTGATCATAATCACACACGAGCGTTTATTAATTCACCCACAGACAGCTCCTTAATGCTAGTTGAAGAAGGGTATGGCGTTATATTTTCATGACTGGATTAACTTTCGGGAGTTGGGATTTTATGGGGTCTTCTTATTAAGAACAGTTAGTAATCACAGTGGGGTCTATTTGAGGGTTACAGTCATATAATCATATTTTTCTTCGAAGACTTGTGATATCCTTGTGATATATGAGTGTGATATCCTCGGGCTCAACGATTCGATTCGTAAAATTTAATCTTTACAGGAACCAATTTAAAGGGAGTGACCGACGACCGTTTACCCCAAAATTAATATTTTTATCATCATTTACTTGTCTTTAGGTTATTCCAATTTCCAAACATTTATTAGTTTCTTTTTTAAAAGACAAAAGAAGATATTTTGAAGAATATGGGTAACTAAACAGTCGATGACATTCCTCAAAATATCTTCTATTTAACAGACGAAAGTCTCATGCAGGATTGGAAGAACTCGAGGACGAGTAGCCTAAATGATGACAGAGTAAAAAAAAAAAACAAAAAAAAAAACTTGGGTTTTCATATAGGCTACATTCCCACTCTTTTGGACCAAATCACTGTGACCATAAAATAATCATAATTGTTTCCTGCAGATTGGTCGACCTGGAGCCAGAGGAGCGTGATGGGGGGCAGAGGAAGAAGATGCCCCCGGAGGAGGCAGGAGCACACAGACACGAGGCCTACGACATGTCCCGTCTGCGGAGTTCCTCTCTGGAGATCAAGGAAAAGGGAACAGAATTCCTCAGAGACCAGCTGGATGCTGCACAAAAGGTGCCACATGTTCTGTTCTTTTCCATTCTGTTCCGATCTATTCCATTCTATTCAGTTCAAATCCATTCCATTCTATTCCGATCTATTCCGCTCCATTCTGTTCCGAACTATTCCATTTTATTCTATTCCATTCTGTTCCAATATATTCCATTCTATTCCAATCTATTCTATTCAATTTTATTCCGTTCTTTTCTATTCCATTCTATTCTGTTCCATTCTATTACGGTCTATTCCATTCTATTATATTCCGTTCCATTCCATTCCAAAATATCAAAAGTAATGTTTTGGGGAGACTTTACATTTAGCTAAGAAAACGGGTCTTGATGTTTCATTGTAGGTTCTTCAGATCAGTGTTTCGGATCTTTAAAGCTCCAGCTCACGGTTTCAGGTTACAAATGATGTGTTTCAGAGTAGTAATAACTGCTCAGGTCTTTGTCAAACCATAATTGATAGTTTATTTTGTAAACTAGCCTACAACGTCACTCATTTGACTGTTGTCATGTGAGTCAAACAAAATAGCAGCAGTGTCAACAGTTCAATAATGGAGATACATCTGCTCATAGCCTTGTTATTTTTAAATAAATGTTTTATTATTTTTATTCAACTTATTTATTGTTTTATTATTGTTCTATCTAATGATGCTGGTGCCCGTTAGTACATTAATGTGAACTGCTTGGAAATATGCAGATTCAGTTCTGATTTATTGAGCGTCGTCTGTGTTTCAGGAGCTGAAGCTGAAAGACGAGGAGTGTGTCAGACTGTCTCATGTCAGGAATCAACTCGAGCAGGAACTGGAGGAACTGACCGCCAGTCTGTTTGAGGTGGGCGGGACTAATGTGACATCATTGACACTGAATATAGAGGACTATTGTGTGGTGATGTTGATGTATTAGGTTAACATTTATGAGGCAGATTGGTCATCTTGAAACAAAAATTATTCAATTTGCCTTTGTAATCTCATTTTAAATGGTCCTGTTGTGTGACAAATTCATTTTTATTATAAAAATTATTTCACAATTTAAAATTGTTACTAGCCATGACATCGATACCATGGGGAAAAACTTCAATATAGATATTTTTAATATTATATCATAATTTGGCAGCCGGTATATTAGGCTGCTCTCACTTTAAGACCTGACACGGGGATTCATTACACTGTCACACATGCGTTTCCTTTCTCAGCGGTTTACGTTCACTTAAAACATGACTGACTGTGTTTACACGAATACTCGCCAATACCTGCATTTTGATATTATTTAGTGTGTATTTTAAGACATGAAAACAAATTCAATTTAGTCCTGAGAGGCTCTTTATGTGCCTCACTTTGGGTGTGAGCACAAAATCTGCAGGAATGAGAGAGTCACTGAGATGAGATCAGAGAGAAAATGTATCTGTATCTATTCTGTCGGAAAATGAATATTCAGATATTTCAGTATCGATATGCATTGATTGACAACACTATACATTTATTATTTCAGATCCCTTTTTAAATTTAAGACTTCAATTGAAAAAAATGTATTATACAAATAAAAGTGGCTCGTAAGACTGACTGCGTTAAACACCTCTTCTGCAATACACACACATTTAGTAAGTGTTAATGTCAAGTCCCGAATAAAACATATTATAATTAATTTTTAATGTAAAAATAATTATTGTAATCTCACAATTATCATTAAATCAATAAATAAAAAACGCTGCAAGTAGTGTTGGGTAAGTTACTCTAAAAAGTAATTAATTACTAGTTACTAATTACCTCTTCAACAGTGTAATTAGATTACTGTACTAATTACTCTCTCTAAAAAGTATTTAATTACTTTTTTAATTACTTTCAATTACTTTCAGTCTCAACCAGCTGAATAATACAAGGATAGACATGAATCTGTTTTAATTCTTACAAATAAATACTATAAAATTGCATGAATTATCCCTAAACTGACCAAGGCGGAGAAGGTTACATTATAAAAACATACTTTTTTAACATCACACAGTACATTTTGATGTTAAACCCGCTATTGTTTTATGTCAGTCTGATCTCATGACATTTCACACTTTTTTCATACATATTTTACAATAATTCATACGAAATTTAGACACCTCATAAAATGCATACAAATCGCTGTAAGATCGGATTGATCTATACACAGTATTTACCTCAATTACATCAGAAGTAACTGTAATTAAATTACAGATAAATGAAGAGTAATCCTTTACTTTACATTTTCAAGGGAAAAGTAATTAAATACAGTAACTAATTACTGGCTGCAAGCATAGTTAGTTATAAAAACATTGGTAAAATGCTGTCACAAACCTGTGTGTTCATCTTTGGTCTCTAGGAGGCTCATAAGATGGTGCGAGAGGCCAACGTGAAGCAGGCGGCGGCGGAGAAACAGCTGAAGGAGGCGCAGGGCAAGGTGCTGTCTGTCTCTCTCAATAGAGAGCCTAAGCCCCTCCCCTTCCGGTCGACCATCATGGGACCTTATTTCGGAAAAATATTGAATGGTAGTCAATGGCGAGAGACTGAATTACACATATGATGTTTGTCAATTTAAAAGATACATTTTAAAGTAAAGAAAGTCGCAGTTTGATGTGAAACCGTTGAGGTATAAGACTGTGAAAATACGTAATTACAAAGACTACAAATCCCAAAGGCGCACATTTTCTCTCAATGAATGAAGCTAACTTTACTGAGGCTAACGTCTGCCATTGTTTCTACAGTCTTACGTTATAATCGTGTTTATAAACGAGTGTGTTGTACCAGACTGCACACACACACACGAGCAGCGGATCTCGTTTCGCTTCCTGGGAGATGTAGTTCACATAAAACTAAATGTTACTCTTCTGTTTAATGACAAACTGCGACGTTTTTGACTTTCAGAATTATCTTTTAAATTGACAAACATCATATGTGTAATTGAGGGCACAGTTCAGACGGAATAGTAGCCATTGACTACCATTCATATTTTTCCCGAAATAAGGTCCCATGAGCCGGAAGCTGAGGGGCGGGACTTTGTCTCTCTCTGTCTGTCTAATTCTTTGCTCACTCTTTCTGCACATCTGTCGCCTCAGATTGACGTCCTGCAGGCGGAGGTCTCTGCTCTGAAAACCCTGGTGTTGACCTCTACGCCCGCCTCCCCGAACCGCCAGCTCCACCCTCAGCTGCTGTCTCCGGGCTCCAGCCGGGCCCGGGGCCACACGCGCAACAAGAGCGCCAGCGGAGCCCTCCAGCTGCAGACGGAGCCACCGCCGACCGACGCAGCGGCAAACAGGGAGGACAGAGAGGTACAAACACACCGCTGGACGAAATAGTGTTCGGTACCAAGTTGGTACCAGGTTTTCATACGCTAATTGGAAATGTCTGTGATTGGCTAAAATGATAACATACATCAATACCGAAGTCGGCTTTAGAGACTAGTGTTGGTCATGGTGAAAGTTTGATCACTGTTTTACTGCACCTTCACTGATTTCCTGCTGTTCTTCCTCTTCTTTTCCTCCGATCTGTGCAGTTCCTGTTCTCCTCTGTCTGATACTGTGTGTCTGATTCCTGCTCAGCTGGTCAGTGTGACCTGTGTGTGAACTCTCTCTATGGCAACAGGGTACAAAGGGTTACAAATGAAAACTTTAGAACTTATTTTTCTTTCTTGCTTGCTTGCTTTCATTCCCTGCTGGTGAAAAAAGGAAATAATAACACAGCCCAAAAAGTGGTTTGCTGGTTTAGCTGGAGATACCCAAATCTCCCATTGTTAAATTAAATTAATTTTCTTTAATTGAAATAAAGCTGAAATAAAATGTAAATATTAGATAATTAATGGCAAAAATTACACACTTAAACTAAAATGAAAATAAAAAAATAAAATCTAATTCAAAATAGTAATAAATACTTTAGTAGTTTATAAATAATAGTCACAATAAGATTCCATTAGTTAACATACCTCTTTACTATTTACTAATACATATTTAATGGAGCTGAGCTGACATGAGATAACAATGAGCAGCTGTGTTTTTATTCACTGGTAATACTGTACTGTAACACATGTATTGCATTATATTGCTTTTTTTTAGTCACTGTAATATTATTTAATGCATTTACTTGTGTTACTTGTATTATTTAATGCATTTACTAAAATATCCTGGACCAGCAAACCAGCTTTTTTCAGCAGAGAAACAAAACAAAATAGCAATCAACACATTTAAAAAGAAAAAGAGCATGAATTCAATTCACTGAGTGGTTAAAAGCATGAAGCCTAATCTTCTGTGATGTAGCTGGACTCGGTGTTGTTCGCGGAGTTCCTCTCGTGGAAGGAGAAGCCGGGTCTGGATCGCTCCTCGGCGTTCATCGGCCGGGTGTTCAGGGAAGATATCGGACCCTGCCTCTCATTCACATGTTCTGAGGTACGCCAGTGTACATCAGCTCTGCTCTCGTTCTGTGTGTTTCTGCGTTCTCTCAGACCTTCTCTCGTGGTTTTCCTCCAGTTGTCTCAGTCTGTCCAGTGCGCCGTGGAGAACAACTCTCTCACCATCGAGCCTGTAGCCATGTCGTCGCTGCCCACGGTCAAAGACATCGAGTGTGGAGGACCCAAGTAAGTCATGTAGCTGTACACACAAAACACATCCATCACCAATTTAAGAAATTTAGACTGATAATACTATACTTTTTCAGATAATGTGCATTACTTGTGTTTTATAATGTGTTTTTAAAGGGATAGTCCGCTTTTTTTGGAAATAGGCTCATTTTACAACTCCCCCAGAGTTAAACAGTTTTACCGTTTTCAAATCCATTCAGCCGATTTTCTAATATTTAGAAGAATGTCAGTAATCAGATATTTTCTGGTCTCATTGAATTCTGTAGTAGGAAAAAAAATATACTATGGAAGTCAATGAGACCAGAAACTGTCTGGTTCCTGATATTCTTCTAAATATCAGAAAATCGGCTGAATACATTAGAAAACGGTAAAACCCAACTTTTTAACTCTGGGGGAGTGGTAAAATGAGCCTATTTCCAAAAAAAGTGGAGTATCCCTTTAACTCAAACTGTCTCTATGAAGCCCCTCCTTCTGAAAAGCACACTGTGCTCTGATTGGTCGGCTGGATCAGTGTGTTGTGATTGGTCAAGAGCTTTGTGCATGTTTGGGAAATCCCGCCCCTTACCATAACCGCGAGTTTCAACACACTACTGACTAACTCAAACAGGCCCCGCCCCTTTATTCTGCGTATTAATTATTATAATGAGGAATATTGTGACGTGTTCGTTCCCGGAAGAAACTTAAGACTACAATGGAGGCGACGCTGATACAGAGATCTCTTTGATGACATGCATGGCTTAAATTTCCCAATACTGCATGCTTGAGTGCATAAACACTTCATATCTTCACACCAACACCTCTTTCTGACTGCCTCACCTGGATAACGCTCGGGACAATCCTGACTAAAGTTAAAATCCTTGGGTTTGACATGTAGCAAGTGGGATCCTCTTTAAATTCTGTAATCAAATACATAGATAAAAACTGTAAATTAGGGATGGGCAACGATTAATCGCATCCAAAATAAAAGTTTGTGTTTACATAATATATGTGTGTGTAGTGTGTATAATTAATTTGTATATATAAATACTCACACATGCATGTATATATTTAAGAAAAATGTGTTGTTAATATATCAAATATTTATATATAATATTAATTGTGAATAAATATATATATAAAATATATACATGCATGTGTGGGTATTTATATATACAAATTAATTACACACACTACACAAACATATATTATGTAAACACAAACTTTTATTTTGTATGCGATTAATCGTTGCCCATCCCTACTGTAAATCAGAGCAATTGCACTTTGATCTTGGAAGTCACGCTTTAATCGCACTTTAATCGCACTTTAATCACTGTTTGATTTGGGGTTGTTTTCACAGCGGTTGCCGGACACCGATAGAAACGTAAGTGATTCCGAGAACCAAATGTGCATGAAATCCTGTTTCACACCAGCACATGACATCATCAGTCCCTATCTGTCTGGAGAATGTTTATTAGTTAATTCTTTTATATAAATATGGTAATTACAGAGAATGTCTAATTGAAGAGAATTGGCACTGGCTGGTTACTTCCGGGTTCTGGACTGGCTGCAGTAACGCGTCTCTGTCCATGCGGGGGCGGTCGAGTGCAGAATGAATGGGAGTCAATGGGGTTTCACCCCCAGAAATCCACTTTTCTCAGGATGTCATTTTTTGTCAAGTAATTTGAAAGTTGCATTCAAAGGGGAGGGCTAAGAAAATACACTCAGCTAAAAATTGCATTTTTAAGTTCACTTATCTGTTCTAAAAATCCGTTCAAAACTGTGATGATGTCACACAATAGCAGAATGCTAGCGTGTTTCGGCCAACAACAGCCTAACCTGTAAGAAATCAAAAGGACATAAGTACTCGTTCATTCGACTTTTGGCCTATAATCTATATTGAACTTGCGGAATCAACAATAAAATCTATTTTGATTTAACGACAAGCAGGTGAAAGAGACACTTTTAGCCGTTTAGCCCCATAGACTCCCATTCATTCTGCTCTCGCCCGTGATCACCCCCAGTGGAATTCTAATGGAACTGCAACCAAGGTGATCCACAACGGGGCTAATAGGAAGTGCCAAGGCTCTTCGTTAGACAGGCTCTGGTAATTACGACATGCCTGCTCGTGTCGCCGTTAAGAGCGTTCAGTGATTTGATTGACAGCTTCATTGCTCATTGTTCTCTTTTGCTTGAACAGTAAGTGCGCGTTGAGCGGGATGTCCCGCCCCTGCCGACATCGCATCAAACTGGGAGATAAAGAGAATTACTACTATATATCTCCGTCTAGCAGAGCACGGGTACGTCTAAATCACTCCCATATCTATATCACAGGAAACGAGATGTTTATCCTCACAGTTCCTCATGTTCTCCTCACAGATCACAGCGGTGTGCAACTTCTTCACTTACATCAGGTACATCCAGCAGGGCCTCGTCAGACAAGACGGTGAGTTCATCGACTCTGTATTATTGTGGACTGTGTATTATTATTTTGTATATGAAGAGTTCAGATGCAAAAGCCTCTAAATGCCATTTGAAATTTTCTTCTTTAATGATGATTTTTATCAAACTTGTATATTTTATTTCATTAATTTCACTTAAATAACAATTAATAGGTAATTATCATTGTTATTTAAGTGAAATTACTGAACTTAAATATACAAGTTTGATAAAAATCATCATTAAAGAAGAAAATTTCAAATGGCATTTAGAGGCTTTTGCATCTGAACTCTTCAAATATTAATACACACACATGCATGTATATTTAAGAAAAAAATATTATTTATATATAAAATATTTATATATGTATTATAAATCTATATACAGTATATACATGAAAATATTCTTAAATATATACAAGCATGTGTGTGTATTTATATTTATACAAAATAATTATACACAGTGCACCCACATATATTATGTAAACACAAACTTTTATTTTGGATGCGATTAATCGTTTGACAGCCCTAGTGTGTGTGTGTGTGTATATATATATATATATATATATATATATATATAAATATATATATATATATATATATATATATAAATAAATGTATATAAATAAATCTATATATATATATACATATAATATACATATAAATATATATATATATATATATATATATATATATAAAATGTATATATATATGTTTGAATATTATATTAAATACATAACACATTTAATATTAAGTGATTTGTTATTGAACTAATCAATCATTTAGTTGGTATTTCAAAATGGCGTTAAACAGTGGATATTTCTATTCCAATAAAGTGTGTCAGAATAAAACTGTGATGTTCCTCTGGTTGCAGTTCAGCTGATGTTTTGGGAAGTGATGCGTCTGCGGAGAGAGATGAGCGTGGCCAAACTGGGATATTTCCTGACGGAGGAGAGCTAGAGAAGCAGAAAACACAGAAACACATCTCAACATTCACTCACACACTCCCATGTTCATACATGTATTCAGGGAAACACTACAGAAGAACTCTTTCCCCTGAGCCAATGGAATAACAGCATTGCAGTTCTGTGTTATTTTTGCTTTTGGTAAACCCTAGTGTGTTAAAAAGAGGTAAACATGTTATATTTCAATTTTCCGGTAAATAGTCTCTTATAGTCAAACCTTAGGTTTTCAGCTCATCTAGTGTTCCTGTTTACACACAGCGACGGACAACAATCGGTCAAATCTTAACCAGTTAAATAGAAAGATAGCAGAAGAATTGGCTTTTATTTGCTTTGTTTGTTTTCTCGGAAGTACTATGTTACACACATGTGAATGTTTTATATGATAATTCCAACAATAGAAGCAGTTCTCGAATCATAAGGCCGTTCTCGAGCTTGAACACTATCTTGAATATGCAATGCACTAAGGCGCTTTCTGTCCCAGCATGCTTTGTGCACCGGTTACTTCTGTGCACATTAGCTTTGAATGGACAATCCTCCACGGGTCTTTTCTATGCAACCTCCTTAAAGTGCCAAGAAATGTGCCACGCGAGTCTCGGTCTGTTACTACGGAGGTGTATTGCATTCACTTGAAGAAAAAAAAATCTACTCTGTTTTTCTGAATTAACAAGTTAATTTTTCGTGAGAAAAAAAGTTTTTGCTCTGTTTTTCTGAATTAACGAGTTAATTTTTCATGGATTTTTTTTTTTTTTTTTTGCTGTGTTTTTCTGAATTAACAAGTAATTTTTCATGAGAAAAAAATTGCTCTGTTTTTCTGAATTAATGAGTTAATTTTTCATGGATTTTTTTTTTTTTTTGCTCTGTTTTTCTGAATTAACGAGTTAATTTTTCATGGAATTTTTTTTGCTCTGTTTTTCTGAATTAACTCGTTAATTCAGAAAAACAGAGCAAAAACTTTTTTTCTCATGAAAAATTAACTCATTAATTCAGAAAAACAGCAAAAAAAATTCTCACGAAAAATTAACTCATTAATTCAGAAAAACAGCAAAAACTTTTTTCTCACGAAAAATTAACTCATTAATTCAGAAAAACAGCAAAAACTTTTTTCTCACGAAAAATTAACTCATTAATTCAGAAAAACAGAGCAAAAACTTTTTTTCTCATGAAAAATTAACTCATTAATTCAGAAAAACAGCAAAAAAAAATTTCTCATGAAAAATTAACTCGTTAATTCAGAAAAACAGAGTAGATTTTTTTTCTTCAAGTGAATGCAATACGCCTCCGTATGTTACAGACACTCCTGCACACACACGTCACTGCCAGCCTAACCATCTTAGACACAGGTTATGATACTTGTACCATGATGCATCACACTCCATAGATAATAACTGTTGTTTGATTGACAATCGCTGCACAAATTCAGTGTTTACAGAGCCTTTTATAGGCCGTAGCCGCCACATTTAACTTGATGCGAGTGAAAAAATGTCTTCCGACGGTTGCACTGTTTTGTTTTTGTAAAATATGTGCAATGTTTTAGCTTCGTTTTCATCCGCGACACATTAAATTTAGCGTCTACCCTCAGGTCCGTTGCGTGTAAGTTAAACTGCCTCGTCATGTTAAAATGACCGTGTGTGTTTTCAGTCTATTAAAGTCTTCAGAATACACATTTGTGTGACTCGGATTTGTTTTTGTGAACGTTGTGCCAAGAAATGTGCCCAAAACAAGTATACAGCGTGTAAGAAATTGTGCTTTATTCATATATTTTTGGACTTCGACAGGCATTGAATATATATATATATATATAATTATGATTTTATGGGATAATGGAAGATTTCATAGAATGAATTTATGATGCTTGAAATAATAGTTTAAAATGCATCGTACACACATGTATGCATAATTTCACGTCTCAATACGTGTAGAAACTCAAGGCTAAGCTACAACAAAGCAAGGTTTATTTGTGAGGTCACGCGTGGGAGAGCCGACGGCAGATTTACCACAGACAAAAGCTTATCTCAAGGGCGAGGACACTGGGAGAATGTTAAAAATGCTTTGCAGGCTTGAACACATACAGAACGCAGTGAAACGAGACTGTGGTTATGAAACATGTAAACACAGACCGATTGTGACCAGTTCATCTTCCTCTCTGACAGCATTCTGCCTTCGCCGTCTCGGCTTTCCCAAGGGCGACTCTGCAGGATTGACATTCTAGTATAAGTATATACGTTTAAACATACCAAACAACTGCTTGAGCTGGAGAGAGTGACACACCTTTTGTAGCATGCGAGGAAGAGCAGAATCAAAGCCACGCCCCCTAGGACTGACATCACTGATGCAACAATGGAGGAGGCAGAAAGGGGCGGAGCTGCAGCTTCTACATATGCAACACAGAAAAGCTCATTTATGTGATTCTGATTAATATATGGCACAGGTGTCGGTGATTATGTGGCCGCCGCTCACCTGTACAGGTGTGACCTCCGGGTGTGTTGAAGCACTGCAGGTGCGACGGGCAGACGGGCGGATGAGATGAACATTCATCGATATCTGAAATAAACAATAAAAACACTGGTTTGATTTACTGGTGTAAACTGAATCAGTTCAGATTTTATTATAATATTAATCGTTTAATATTTTGCCGTATTAATATCTAATGTTATTTTACATTTAAAATTGAATTTAACTCAATTAGTCAATTATTAGGAAATAAAAAAGCTAACTTTTTATAGGAAAAAGATAACAGGTATTCTTTCTAATAGGTATAGGCTTTCGTATGTCATGCAAGATATTATTAAAGCATGACATATGTTGTAAGATCATGTCAGGAAATTTAATTATGGTTTGAAATTAGACCAGAAATAAATAAATTATTCTTATGTCATGTAAGTTATTATTGCAATTTCTTTGCATACTTTATATTTTCATGAGTGTAAACATGACAGGATTTTAAATACGTTTTAGCAGAATGTTTTCCAATACAGAAAAAAATAGAATAAATTTAGATTCAATTTAATGACTGTCTATGAATGTTCAAATGTCCAAAAATGTTAATTTACAATTAAATAATACTAAATTAATTTATTTATTTAATATTAGTTGTTTTATATTTTATTATTATTATTTATTTTATTTAAAATGTAGTCAACTGTTTATATTACATTTAATGTAATATTTGATATTTAATATTTAGTTTAGTCTAGTTTAAAGAATGTCCATGAATGTCCTAACATCCCAAAAATTTGTAATCATCCATCAATATTTGAAATAACCAATCAAAACATTGTACTAAATTTAAATTTTAAATAGCCAATTTCTAAATTTAATTTAATAGTTAACATAAACTGTTTAAAATTGTATTAATATTTACTATTTAATCTAATGTTTTTTTTTTTAAAAGCAAACTTTTTATATGAGATTTTTATCTCCTATAAAATGATTATTTTATTTTTATTTATTTTGATATATTTTATTTATTTTTATTATTTTATTAATTATTTTATTTTAAATTATTTCTATTTAAATGTTATTTGACATTTGATATTGCATATTTAACATTTAATATTACATATTTAGTTCAGTTTAAAGAGAGACCTTGGCAGGTGGGTGGTTGTGGGCTCCAGCTGTGAGTGTTGTGGTCACAGGTCACGTGTGCGGCCCCCTGGAGCAAGTATCCAGTAGGACACTGATACATCACGACAGAGTCACACAGCACAGAGAAACCCAGACGCAGCCGCGGGACGGCACCACAGACCGGGTCTAAAAATGAGACCAAAACAGGGTGAATATGAATAAAACACATCAAGTAAAAGGATTATTCTTTCAGTCGCTATTACCAGCGTCTGCTTCTCTCCACGCTGAGAGGTTCATGTGGGCGATGTGTGTGCAGGGCAGGAGGTCGTCAGGGCGGAGTGTGTGTGCGAAGGGGTCATTCGGCACCAAATGGATGTGTGTGTTGTCACAGATGATGCGGGACAGAGATGTAGTGTGGAGAGCGTCTCTCTGAGCAGAGCTGAACACACCTTCACTCTGCCACCAGAACCTGAACCAGAATTACCATTTAACCCCCATCCTTCCCTCGGGGCATCATGACCAAAACTCACGAGTGTTCATCAGAGGGCTCCAAGACCCTAAGACTATTGTCGCACTTGAACCATGAATATATAAAAAAAATTTTTTTTAAAGGATTCTAGGAGTTTTGTGGTTGAAATTGAAAAAAGTAACAAATCCTTCGCTCGCGGGTCAAGTTGACCCCCTTAGGAATGAATGGAAAGCGAGGAATGCTTCAGTACACATAGAAAAACCTAAAAATGCTCATAATTCAAACTAAAAATGCTAAAACTTTACCCAAAAAAATTTATTTTATAATGTGTGTATCTGAATGAGAGCGATAAGGCCATCTAGAGTCAATTTAATTTGAAAGAATGTGAGGAATGTTCTTAAATTACTATTTATTAATTATTTAATGATCAATTCTAGTCATTTAAAGGTACATGACATAAAAAAAGAACAAAACAAAATTAAAAATCGAAAGAATATTATCAAAATTAAATTTTTAATTTTTAATTAAAAGGGATTCGGATCATTTTGACCCGCGAGGAAAAAGTCAGAGTGAAGGATGAGGGTTAATTATGCACTTCATATCATACATATAAATGATTACATTGTTTAAATGAATGCATCATACAGTTACAGATCACTCTAAATTGTAATGTGGACTCTGTAAAGCTGCTTTGAAATGATGTGTTGTGAAAAGCGCTATACAAATAAATATGAATTGAACTGAATTGAATATTGAGCCAGATTGAAATCACTCAACGTTTAAATACACAAGAAGTGGAACATCACACTACCGGTCACCGTCTCGGAGCGTTTTGAACTGTTTTGCGATCAGGCACGCCAGCAGCGACCCCACGCGACCCCCGGGCAGAGCCGGCTCTGAGATCGCCCCGACCCACACGTCTATGTTCTCAGCCGACCCATAGAGATGCAGCAGCTTCCGGGCCAGAACCACATTACCCAGAATCCCTGTTAAATCAGACTCGTTGGCAGGGGCGGAGAGGCCGCAGAGTTTCCTCCATGCACTGTAACCTGGGGACAGAAGGACATCACTGTGACATTTCAATTAGTCAATTATAAGGAAACTATTACTATTACTAAACTATTATTAAACAGTTCAAATTATAGGGGACAGATCATTGGAAATGCAATACTGACTGAAAAACAAAAAAGGAAAAAGAATTATGTCATGCAGGTAATTATTGTATTTTGTCATTTTTGATGTGATTTTGTAATGTTTTAGTCACACATATTCTGTGTTTCTTTATATAATATGACTTATTTGCCTTTTCTTATACAATGTTTTGAATTTCAGACATGCTGGCACTTCCAGCTGAGAAAGCTTGGGGGTTTTTCATTTTATTTGCATTGTTGTTTTATAAGCTCAAATGCTCACCTTGCTGTGTTATGTGATGCACGTTCGTGACTCTCCAGTTCGAACTCGTTCATCAAAATGAATGAATCTTTTTTCGAGTCATTTGGTTCATTCAACGAACAAAATTAACCAAATGACTCGAAAAAAAAGATTCGAAAGGAGAGTCACAACTCACGAACGCGCATTATTTTTAAAAAGACCGATGGTTTCGCTAGATAAGACCCTTATTCATCGTCTGGTGTCGTTTAAAGACATTTGAAGCTGCACTGAAACTCTCATTTGAAGAAAGAAAGAAATACATGGACATCTTGGATGACATGGGGGCGAGTAAATTATCAGCAAAAGTTTTTTTTAAAAGTGAAATACTCCTTTAAATCAGATAGCTATCCGATCAGTGAAAACACACACAAAGTGACCAGTTGTAAACAGGCCCTTAGAAGGCAGCTGCCTATCATGACCGGCACCTTGTAAGCCGTGATCTCGCCCCCTCTGCAGGTTTAACGCCGCTAGGTCGAGCGGGAGTCCTCCCTGAGCCTGGAAAAGCCTCTCGGTCAGTTCCTCCACCATCATCTGATCTGCTGTCTGCAGTTTAGCTGGGGATAAGAGTAAACCACGCAGCACTGGATCGATGCCTCCTACACACACACACACACAAATGTTCCTTATGCATCATAACCTGATATGCATGTTGAGTAAATTAGCATGCAATCTTGAATATTACAGCTAAACACTAAAGGTATGAATCAATTGAGACTTTGGCTTTGAGTTTTTTCATACACCAAACTTTATTCCAATCTATATTTTGAAGGTTTTTACTAAGGGGTTTTCATGTACAGTACATTACCATTTACTTTGTTTATATAACAATTTATTCCTATAAACATGGTCCATTAAATCCAGTTTCTTTGGATTTAAGAAGTGATAAAAAGAAAACAGTTTGACACTAGTGTCAACAAAATGAAACAAGCATTTTGAACCTGGATTTATACAATGTTTGGATTTTTGTTCTAGAAATTCATGCAAATTAGTGCATATTAAAACTTAAAGGATTGGTTCACTTTTCAAAAAACTTTTGCTGATAATTTACTCGCCCCCGTGTCATCCAAGATGTCCATGTCTTTCTTTCTTCAGTCGAAAAGAAATGAAGGTTTTTGATGAAAACATTCCAGGATTTTTTCCATATAATGGACTTCAATGGGGACCAAACGGCTCAATGTCCAAAGGACAGTTTCAGTGCAAACTACAAACTGTTCAAAGGGCTTTAAACGATTCCAGTCGATGAATAAGGGTCTTATCAAGCAAAACAATCGCTCATTTAAAAAATAAATAACAAAGTTTAAGTTTTATAAGCTCAAATGCTCGCCTTGCTCTGTTCTGTGATGCGCGTAAAAAGGATGTATGACTCTCCTGCGCGTATGACTCTCCTGTTCGAACTCGTTCATCAAAATGAACGAATCTTTTTCCGAGTCATTTGGTTCATTCAACGAACAAAACGCACGAATTGACGCGGAAAAAGATTCCTTGTCGAACAGGAGAGTCACGAACGTGCATCACAGAACAGAGCAAGACGAGCATTTGAGCTTATAAAACTTAAATTTTGTTGTTGTTTTTTTATTAAATGAGCGATCGTTTCGCTTGATAAGACCCTTATTCATCGTCTGGTGTCGTTTAAAGCCCTTTGAAGCTGCACTGAAAGTGTCTTTTGGACCTTGAACCGTTTGGACCCCATTGAAGTCCATTATATGGAGAAAATCCTGGAATGTTTTCATCAAAAACCTTAATTTCTTTTCGACTGAAGAAAGAAAGACATGGACATCTTGGATGACACGGGGGCGAGTAAATTATCAGCAAAAGCTTTTTTTAAAAGTGAACTACTCCTTTAACATTTAAGAGAAACAAAAAAAACGTCAACGAACCCTCTTGCACCATCCTCCAGGATGCAAACAAAGAGTGGTGTAACGGCAAAGCCGGGTGTTCGGGGCTCAACTGGTAATCAGGTCCAAGGCGGTTCACAACCGGGTGCACGGTCACATGTGCAAACCGAAAGGCAGCGGTGGAGAAAATGTTGGAGATGCTGGGGTCAGCGTCAGGGTCGTAACCTTTATACGGGGGCATGAGGACCAGGTTAGCACTGCGGCCCAGGACACGTGGCAAGTAGTGATCCCACGTCAAGATCTTCCAAAACAAGATTCAGCAAGTCAGATGAATGAATACATATACACTCATTTTATAAGTTGACATCTTCTCACCTGGTGGACGGCGCCCAGTATTTTCCTGGCCTCCTGGTACAGCGTGTCCGGGCTCCAATGAGGATTGAGCTTGTGAAGCTCCTCAGCCAATCGGTTGTGTTCTCTCAGAAAGAGTGTGTGCAGAGCGATCATACCCAAGTGCTCATTGGCTCGAGAGTCACCTGAGACACGCCCACAAAAACAACACAACAACCGGCCAGTTTAGTGTGAAGACCTAGCCGGGACATTAAAAAAAAAAAAGACACACATATTGACTTCTGTTCTGTTTCTTTGTAAGACGTTTTAGCTGTAATACCCTTAAAGACAACTTCAATTAAAAACTGAGCTTTTAACTTTATTAATACACATTGCTAGCCTACACACTTTAGTACTGCATCTCCAGCATCCCATATTGGATAAGTGGAAAATATATATATTTTTTTTATTCAATTAAAATAAAATAAAAAATAAATCAATTAATTAATACAATAATTTTTGCTCTAAGATTTTTTTTTATTATTTAAATTATTTAAATTTAACCCTCAGGTGCTCTTCAGTCATTTCTGACCGAAAAATTTTCTGTTTTGAAATTTTAAAAATTACAGCTTCATCGCAATGTTACGAAAACTTCGTGACTTTTATGGCATTATGTATGTGAACACACAAAAAATTGAGGTCATGATCTGAGCATGCTAAGTGGTCTTTTGTCAAAATAGTCACACTTGTGGTCTTTGGTCAAAAATGACCCCCATAGGAAATGAATGGGAAATTGTAAAACAAAAAAAAAAAAAAAAAAAAAAATTGTGAATTTTTGTTTGTCAATTTTTTTTATAAGAAATAGTTTGAGATTGTTTCAACTATATATTCAAATCCATCAACAACAACAAAAAAATGTGTTCATAAGCAGCTGGGGAATTCACATGCTTCTCCATAGAGAGCTGTACATGCCATCTAGTGGTTACACCATGATTCTATGCTTTTTCTCTATACTGTAACCAAATGGTGCTAATTTTCTTCAAAAAATATTTTTTTTCTGAAGGCCTAGACTCTATATTAAACTAAAATACTGCATTAATATTTTTTAGAAAAAAAATAATATATATATAGAAAAATATATATATTTTTTCATGGCAAAAAAAATCATAAATATTGCATAAATAATAATAAATTCAAATAAATTGTCTAAATTAAAAAGAATAAATATTATAGAACAAAAATAAATTGCATTGGTTTTACTGGGATGGAGAAAGTTTCATTTTTAGGTGTCCGGTCACTTTTGACCGGTAAGATAACAAGTGTGACTCCGAAACGAAGAGCACCTGAGGGTTAAATTTACAAAAAACGAGTAGGAATAAATAAAACCTATGTACTCCTACCCCTTTATTCTGTAGTATTACAAATTTTATTAAATGTTTAATTTAGGTACCAGTTCAATAGTATATAAACTGAGAAAGTTCTCTAGATTGAGTTCAGCATTCAGCATCTGGTCTAAGCTTCTGAGTTCCTACACTTTACAACAATACCCTTACTACTATATTTTATTTAATATTAATGCCAACAACCTGCTTGGAAACAGAAGGATCTATTCCCCATGGATATGTTGAGCCTCTCCGCTGCCTCTGGTCGGGGGATGGTGTTGATCCGCTCTCGTGGGCCGCAGGGGTCCAGGTGAGGTTGCGTGCGGGGCAGGTAGGGCATGAAGCCGAGCCCTTGGTCCGAGTGGAACTGATTGACCGCGAGCAGGCCGACGGGGGACGAGAGGTTCCTCAGGACGCCGGCGAGCGCATCCGAGCTCCCGTAGACCATGCTGGCGTCCACGAATGCGGTGATGGCGTTCATCTGCTCCCGGTGCCCGAGAGGAACGGTGCCGCCCGTACAGCTGGGAGCCGAGCGGAAGAACGGCATGCAGGTCTGAGTCCCCGTGCGAGGGTCTGAGAGGGGGATCTGAACGTGAAGAAGAAAAAGAGACTGATGTTCAGACTGACTGTGTAAATCTAGTAGGGTTGTTTAAGTTTAAGCGATTATTCGACTAATCGTACAATTACAGTAATAAGCCATAAATCCTAATAATCAGGGTTTGAAATCAAAGCCATCCCTTCAAATGCGGGTAAAAATCAAATGTGGCGGGATCAAATCACGAGCCAATGTGGCGTGTTGTTTATTATTAGGGCTGTTAGTTAAGCGCGTTATTAACGGCGCTAACGCAAACCTATACATTTTGTATCGCGCGGGTACCACAACTTTCAAAAGATAAATTTAACTGCAGTAGCCACCGTTCAACCTGAAGAGGGCAGCACTTAGATGTTTTTACACCATATATTGTAGAATTAATACACATTAAACCCAAATTAAATTAAATTAAATTGAATCAATGAACAGCATTAATAAAGCCCCAGTATTACAGATCATTAACTAAAAAAAAGTTGTTTTAGGGTTTAGTTGCCCTTTAATGAGTAACTACACCGGAACAAACGAATAACGCACAATTAACATACTAGTAACTACTATTAACTATTTAATTTTAATTAAATGCGCACAGGTGAACCTCGAAAAATGTCAATATCGTGCAAAAGTTCAATAATTCAACTATTAGTGAAACTAATATATTATACAGACTCATTACATGCAAAGTGAGATATTTCAAGCCTTTATTAGTTATAATTGTCATGATTAGGGTTCACAGCTTAATACAAAATTCGAATATTGTGAAAAGATTTTAATATCTGTAAGCAATAATCATCAAAGGCTTGAAATATCTCACTTTGCATGTAGTGATCAATTATGGCGGGATCAAATCACGAGCCAATGTGGCGTGTTGCTTATTATTAGGGCTGTCAGTTAAACGCGTTATTAACGGCGCTAACGCAAACCTATTTTAACGGCGTCAATTTTTTTAGCGCGCGATTAACGGCCTTTTTGTCCTAGCAAACTTTGTCCTTTTTTTTCACATAGGGACACAGCATGCGCGGCGCTACGCTATGAAACCCATTCATTTCAATGGCTCGCGCCGCGCGAGGACGTTTTGTTGCTTCGTCGACCAAAGTGCAAACAAAACAACAGGCACGCCACACACATGGCAGAAAGCGCATCCTGATTGTTTTCATCATTTTAACGTTTTGTTGTTATTGTTGTTATAAGTTAACATTAGTGCGAACTGACTCGCTAACTTGCTGCTACTTACATGTTTCAAGTGATAAGCCACATTTGAGGTCGATGAATGATAGGCGAATGTTCGGATTTCACAGACTGAAGTTTGTTTTTTTTTGCGATTAACCGACTAATAAAATGTTGGTTGACGAAGCCTGTTCAAGTTGACTAACTGTTAGTGGATTATTAGGGGGCAGTCCTAGCATCTAGCATCTGTTTTTCGGGTGTACGTACACACCTGTATTGGGAAACACGGCGTGTCCCGGCTGCAGGTGCGTGTGCAGTCGGCTCCGGTCTTAAAGGCCGCAGTGCTGGGACTCTGGGGGTCAAAGTCAGGTCATGATCGATCCACTGACCCCACTCCACCAGCAGATGAGACAGAGACGAGTCCAGAGAGATGTTCTCATTATGAGTGTACAAAACCTCCTGCGACACACTGCGGACCTGCAGAGAGAGAAGAAGAGAGACTGGAAGACTCAACTTCTGCTCGATTATCGGCTCATTTGGTCTTATTTTTATCTGTAGTTTAGCTAGCTAGCGTTTTTTTTTTATGTTATTAAAACTAGGAAAAGTTATTCTATGGCATCACTGTGAAAAAGTTAACTAAAAATAATTTTAAAAATCACTTTCCTTATTTTAAATAGAGCTGAAATAAAAGAAAATGTAAATATTCGATGAAAAACTCAAACTTAAAAATAACAAATTTGGTTGAGCCAATATTGTAATTTCGTTTGGCACAGAAAATCCACACTTAAATTCCTTTTCATTCAATTGTTGATTACATTTCAAGTTGCATATTCAAGTTTAATTAAAGTAAATTACATTTAAATAAATAATAAATAATTTGAATTATAATAAAGAATTATTTAAAGTCCACCTGCATGTGGTCAATAATTATATCCCTTAAAACTCATCTATGATCACCAAAATTACATATTTAAACGTTTTTTCGTAAAAAACAAAAAATACTCAGCAATGGTTTTGATTTTCAAAGCAAATTAAAAACACGACATAGACATATTTAAACAACATGAAAAATATCAATTTCCACCTCAGGAGGACTTTAAATAGTAATAATAATAAATATAATATGCTTTTTTCCCACTATTTCCCATTGTAGTAACTAGTAACAGCTTCAGCTTCAGCATCTAGTTATTGTAATAACTATAATAAATATATAGTATGTACATGGGAAACATGACTGTAAAAAATAAAGTGCTACCGTATATAGAATGCAAAACAGTTTTCATCGTATCCAAACACTTTAGCAAAATATAAACCCACCAAATGGCTAATAAAACAAACGAAATGAAAATTGCACAAGTAAATAATACGATTATAGACTAATAATTCTTTGAGAACGTTTCCATGAGTTTCATACAGTCTTACAGGTGGAAGTGTGTAGTTATGGTACGTGTGCTGTGTGTTCCAGCCCCTCGGGGCCCCTCGGGGGTCCTCGTACTCGGGCGAGAGCCAGCGGGCGTAAGGGGTGTTCGCTGCGCCCCAGAGAGGGTTTTCTCTGCAAAGCCAAAAGATGTTTTCTGAGCTTAATAAAAAAAAACTCAAATGGGTGACACTTTAGAATACTGGTCCTTCATTAAAGTGTAACTAAACCCCTGGTCAGAGCCTGACTCCACCCACTGGCAATATTAGAAAAATGCTGAAAAAGTGAGCGTAGGATTGGATTCCCTGATCTAATCTGATTTCAGATCCCTTTTTTCTCTTTTGAACAACCCATTTTCAAGATTTGAAAAGCTTACCTTTGAACAACTTGCCCCTAATAATTTTTGTATTAAAAGAAAAATCTTTGACCCATTCTATATATTGTTGGCTATTGCCACAAATATACCCGTGCGACTTTGTGATCCAGGGTCACTTTGTTCCTGTGTAATAATTCATTACTGAAGGAAAGTGTTACCGACAAAGGATATATTTTGGCATCCCATACAGTACGTGTGTGTGCACCTGTTGTTGCAGTGTCCTGTGATGGTACGGTAGCGCTGGGACAGACAGTCTGATTTACACACGGGTCTCTGCGTCTCAGCCGAACACCCTGTGGCCTGCAGTATCGTCTCCATGTCTTCTGCACTTAAAAGCTCTAAGATGCACACCACACATGTTGAGATGACTAATAAGAGCTTTCAAGATCATTCATTGTCAATTTAGGCGTTGCAAGGATTATTCAAAACAGATCAATAAAAAAGATCTGATTTTACGGTAACACTTTACAATAATAAGCATTAATTCATGTTTAACTAATGCACAGATAACACTGAATTAATGTGTAACTAATGATTATCTAAGCTATTCATTAATGATTACCACATTAGGAACTAATTAAGAGTCTGTAAGTTTAATGTATTAGTTTATAAATGAATTGTTTTTAATTAAATATGTAATTGTGGATTAATTCCATAATAACTATTTTTTTTAACTAATAGTGTTAATTAATATGTTAATTACCAGAATGAGCCAAAGCCTTGTATTTCAACCTACAGATAATATGACAGGTACACTAATATGCATTAATACATGACTAATTACTTCATTGTTAGTGCGAATTTATGTGCAAATTACTAAATGACTAGTTAATAATGATGTGCCCCATCAAGTAAAGTCATAACATAATGATACCTTTGCAAATCATTAGCTAATGATTAATTAAAGCAGACAAGTGGAAGTTGAAGTGCATAGCTTTGACTAATTGTCGTAATTAACACATTAATTTACATTATTAGTTAATAAAACATGTTATTAAGGAATTAATACACAATGACACATAGCAATTCATGTATTACTTAATCTATTAATCATATAGACTCTTTATTAGTTGCTGATGCAGTAATCATTAATTAATGGTTTAGTTCTTCATTAGTTATGCATTAACTCATGATTATCTGTGCATTAGTTAAGCATGAATTAATGGATATTAGTGCACCCGTATTGTAGAGTGTTACCGATTTGACTTTTAATGTCTTGTATGACTCAAATGTGTGTGTACCGGTGAGGTCGGGTTTGTCCATGGAGTGTGTGTACACCATCTCTCTTATCAGCTCTACCGTGTTGTCGAGGAACTCGGCGGATCTGATGTGGGTTTTGGTTTTCGGGCCAGTTTGTTTAAACAAGGCCAACAGGTCACTGGGTCGGACAGAACCGTCTGATACAGATGACTTCATTCTGAGAGAAATGAGAGAAAATAAACATTATTAGTAGCTCTAAACTCTTATAATATGATTAAAATCGACTCTTTCTGTCTAGTTACATGTTCCTATTTCTGATTGGTTGATGCATCAATTAAATAAGTCAGTAAGTCTGTAAATGTCACCTCTCATTGGTGTGATCGTAGGCAGCATCTGTCAGCTCTCGGGCTCGCCGTAAAGCTTCCTGAATGAAACTAGATCCCAAATACACTGAAAAATCACCACATGGAATTAAATTGTCTTATTGTGAACTTGTCAGTCTTGTATATGCAGTTGGTAAAAACAAACTTTTATTTGTTACCCAGAAAAAGACTAACTACTAGACATATATAGTTCAGTACCTGTTGCATTCTGGGAAGGAAAAAGAGATGTGGATGACAGCGGCAGAAGCAATATCACAAATACAGATATAATCATGCATGAGAAAGATTCCTGCAATAAGAAAAATATACATTTACAAATTTACAAAAAAATAGAATATGTATATATGTTAATATATATATATATACACACACACACAATCTATAATTATTGTACATGAATAAACAATGAGAAAAATATTTTTTTCATGTGTAATATTAATATTACTTTGGACAATTGTTGCACTTTTTATAGAATTATTATTATTTTATATATAATTATTGCACATACATGCAACTATTATACAAAAATAATTTAAATATTAAAATAATAATTAATCAAATAACTATACAAAACAATTATTATACATGAAAAAACTATAAAAAGAATTTTGTATGGTTGAGTTTTCCCCCACGTGTAATAACTACAGTATAGTTGCTACTATTATACAAAAATAATATAAATATGAAAATAATTAATAAAAAACTATCCAAAACATAACTATAAAAATATATAAATATGCAACTATTGTACAAAATAATATTAATAGAAACATTCAAATAATATATTAGTTGCACTTACCAAGCATGTCGTGTCCATCTGTACGGTCTTGTATTCTCTCCTTTTGTCTTGCTTCAAAATAAATTGTGGTCATGTACAAAAATACAATAAATAAATAGCAATGAATGAAAAAAATAATGTTATAAATATTATTTAGTATTTAGAGTATTTAAACATCACAATCTGAACAGTTTGATGATGTGGGACTGTACAAATCAGTGTAATTACGTGCATCAGAAGGTGTGTGTCGTCCGTGTGTGAGGGGACTGACTTTTATAGGCTGGCTTCAGTCTGCAAGTATGTGCAGAATTTGGTTATCTGTGTGACTGGTGACAACAATTCAACATCAAACGATCCCCAACACACGGAGCGAATGATCCAAACCCATCATCCTCTATCTAATGGGGTAATCGACCCAATCACTCCTCATGCAAGTCATATAGAGCCACAGCGCACGCTTTCACCTTCTGAACAGTGCTAAAGGCATTGCTAAGGTGTAATATTATTATTTTTTAACCCGATGCATCTGATCACTTGGTAAAGTAACAGCACAGCTCTCCTCAACACACATGATCGTTTGAGGAATCATTCATGTCTGGAGCTCAAACGCAGCAGGATGTGTAATACTTTTTGGTAATGAGTTTGTTGGCCATATTTCCAGTAATGCCCCCTGCTTTCTGCCCACCTGGCACGGGTACGATCAGATTGAAGACACACCTGGAAAAGTGGAGTCAGTGGAGCAACAGAGAGAAACAGACGCTTCTGAAAGTCTGATAAGAGAAATTGGAAAGTGAGGAGAACAGAGTCGGGGATTCCAGTTTGATGACTTTAAAAAGCCTGTTGTTCTCGCCGAACACGAGTTTGACGCACAGAACCGAATAACTTTACAGGCCTGATTGGCACACGTGCGCCACATTCAGAGGAAACCAGTGCCAACTGCTGTTTTTGTAACAGCATGACCATTTACCATTCTATGGAGGCTTGTTTCCGCCACTGAATACAAATAAACAAATAGCGACTTTTTATAAATAAAGTCGCAATTGCGAGATATAAAGTTGCAATTCTGAAAAAAAAGAAAGAATTGAGACTTTTTATCTCGCAATTGTGACTTTATAACATATATTTGCGAGTTTATATCTCAACATTCTGACATTTTCTTAGAATTGTGAGATATAAACTTGCAATTGCGAATTATCAGGCCAATTCTAAGAAGAAAATAAAAGAGAATTTTCCCCCTCAAAAAAATTTATATCTCCCAATTCTGACTTTATATCTCCCAATTCTGACTTTATATCTCCCAATTCAGACTTTATATCTCCAAATTCAGACTTTATATCTCGCAATTCTGACTTTATATCACCCAATTCTGACTTTATATCTCCCAATTCAGACTTTATATCTCCAAATTCAGACTTTATATCTCGCAATTCTGACTTTATATCACCCAATTCTGACTTTATATCTCGCAATTCTGACTTTATATCTTGCAATTCTGACTTTATATCTCACAATTCTGACTTTACATCTCACAATTCTGACTTTATATCTTGCAATTCTGACTTTATATCTCACAATTCTGACTTTATATCACCCAATTCAGACTTTATATCTCCCAATTCTGACTTTATATCACCCAATTCTGACTTTATATCTCGCAATTCTGACTTTATATCTTGCAATTTTGACTTTATATCTCACAATTCTGACTTTACATCTCACAATTCTGACTTTATATCTTGCAATTCTGACTTTATATCTCACAATTCTGACTTTATATCACCCAATTCTGACTTTACATCTCACAATTCTGACTTTATATCTTGCAATTCTGACTTTATATCTCACAATTCTGACTTTATATCACCCAATTCAGACTTTATATCTCCCAATTCAGACTTTATATCTCCCAATTCAGACTTTATATCTCCCAATTCTGACTTTATATCTCGCAATTCTGACTTTATATCTTGCAATTCTGACTTTATATCTCACAATTCTGACTTTATATCACCCAATTCTGACTTTATATCTCGCAATTCTGACTTTATATCTTGCAATTCTGACTTTATATCTCACAATTCTGACTTTACATCTCACAATTCTGACTTTATATCTCGCAATTCTGACTTTATATCTCCCAATTCAGACTTTATATCTCCAAATTCTGACTTTATATCACGCAATTTTGACTTTATATCTCGCAATTCTGACTTTATATCTCGCAATTCTGACTTTATATCTCCCAATTCTGACTTTATATCTCCAAATTCTGACTTTATATCTCGCAATTCTGACTTTATATCACCCAATTCTGACTTTATATCTTGCAATTCTGACTTTATATCTCGCAATTATGACATTATATCTCGCAATTCTGACTTTATATCTCACAATTATGACTTTATATCTCCCAATTCTGACATTATATCTCGCAATTCTGACTTTATATCTCCCAATTCTGACTTTATATCTCCCAATTCTGACTTTATATCTCACAATTCTGACTTTACATCTCGCAATTCTGACTTTATATCTCCCAATTCTGACTTTATATCACCCAATTCTGACTTTATATCACCCAATTCAGACTTTATATCTCCCAATTCTGACTTTATATCTCGCAATTCTGACTTTATATCACCCAATTCTGACTTTATATCTCGCAATTCTGACTTTATATCTCCCAATTCTGACTTTATATCTCGCAATTCTGACTTTATATCACCCAATTCTGACTTTATATCACCCAATTCTGACTTTATATCACCCAATTCTGACTTTATATCTCGCAATTCTGACTTTATATCTCCCAATTCTGACTTTATATCTCCAAATTCTGACTTTATATCTCGCAATTCTGACTTTATATCACCCAATTCTGACTTTATATCTTGCAATTCTGACTTTATATCTCGCAATTATGACATTATATCTCGCAATTCTGACTTTATATCTCACAATTATGACTTTATATCTCCCAATTCTGACATTATATCTCGCAATTCTGACTTTATATCTACCAATTCTGACTTTATATCTCACAATTCTGACTTTACATCTCGCAATTCTGACTTTATATCTCGCAATTCTGACTTTATATCTCCCAATTCTGACTTTATATCACCCAATTCTGACTTTATATCACCCAATTCAGACTTTATATCTCCCAATTCTGACTTTATATCTCGCAATTCTGACTTTATATCACCCAATTCTGACTTTATATCACCCAATTCTGACTTTATATCACCCAATTCTGACTTTATATCTCGCAATTCTGACTTTATATCTCCCAATTCTGACTTTATATCTCCCAATTCTGACTTTATATCACGCAATTCTGACTTTATGTCTCCCAATTCTGACTTTATATCACGCAATTCTGACTTTATGTCACGCAATTCTGAGAAATAGTCAGAATTGCGAGATGTAAACACAATTGTGAGAAAAAAAAGTCAGAATTGTGAGATAAAAAGGCGCAATTACCTTTTTATTTTTAATTCTTTGGCGAAAACAAGCTTCCATACCATTCAAATCTAGTGCCACTGTGAAATAATCACATTGCTAGTAGTCTCTATAAATTATAAATGATATTCGTTTGCATGAAGAGCGAAAGAGATACAGATTTGTGCATTTAAAGGGATACTTTCTACACGATTATAAATTAACACGATACTCATATTTATTTATTGTGCTTTTCATTAAGAGCAGCCTGATAAACCAGACGGCATTAGTTACAAAAAGCTTTAGTTCATACATTCACATGTATTTATAATTATCTCTGTTAAATGAACATGTCTTTTAGTTTTTCTTTTGTTTGTTCTCAAATACTTGCAGATGAAAATCACATTAAGACAGTTAAATAGATAAATATGCATTTTCCATATTTATTTAAGGAATATTGTGTGTGTGTGTGTGTATATATATATATATATAATCCTCATATAAATATGGAAAACAATTATGCAGATCGGATATAGAATCTAGAAGCATCTATTCATAAATTGTTGCATCAATTCAATAGGATAATTTATGTACAAATGGATTTTTGAATGAAGTTTCATTAAAAAGGCCCATTGTTAATACTGTGTAAACACCTCATTAAATACCTAAATTGGAAACAGGAGACGAAATACTGAAGAACAATTTAGAGTCATGTGACACCAACACAACACTTCCATCAACAGAGTCATATAAGTGCTGGTGCGAAAAAGCAACGGACTGGAATCTGTGTTAGATTGTGACTGATAAGGTCTAGTGACCTGAGATGATCTGATCTAGAAACAGCCATACACAGCTGATCCCAGAGCAGTTGTTTAATGACCACAGAGAGCGCAGTGTGTCCATACTGAGAGCAGAAGTGCTTCTGGGGGCATACGCAGAGATCGGCCGGACACGGGGGTCTCAAGCGTGCTGAGACCACAGAAACCGGTCACAGCGCTCCAACATGGTCTGAATCAGTGCTCTAAAAGGACAGTGAGAGAAAATGCATGAGAACAAAAACTGTTAATCATTACCCATGTTCAGGATTGAATATGCGCAGTATATACTATACCTACTATTTCCAAATGACATTCCTAAAGGAAAACTAGCGTACAGCACACTGCACAATGTACTATTTTACAAAAAAAACTATTTGTTTGAGATGGAATATAAGCATACTATGCAATATACACACTTTACATTTGACCAAAAAAGCTAATCAAAGTTTAACCCTCAGGTGCTCTTCGTTTCGGAGTCACACTTGTTATCTTCCCGGTCAAAAGTGACCGGACACCTAAAAATTAAATTTCCTCCATCCCAGTAAAACCAATGCAATTTATTTTTGTTCTATAATATTTATTCTTTGTAATTTAGTATTTTGAGACAATTTGATTGAATTTATTAATATTTATGCAACATCTATGGTCTATTTTTGCCATGGAAAAATATATATATTTTTCTATATATTATTTTTTTCAAAAAATTATTAATGCAGTATTTTAGTTTATTATAGAGTCTAGGCCTTCAGAAAAATTTTTTTTTTTTTTGAAGAAAATTAGCACCATTTGGTTACAGTATAGAGAATAAGCGTAGAATCATGGTGTAACCACTAGATGGCATGTACAGATCTCTATGGAGAAGCATGTGAATTCCCCAGATGTTTATGAACACATTTTTTTTGTGTGGATTTGAATATATAGTTGAAACAATTTAAAAAACGATTTTTTATTAAAAAAAATGTAAAACAATAAATAAAAATTTGTGTATTTTTGTTTGTCAATTTCAGATTCATTTTCTATGGGGCTCATTTTTGACCAAAGACCACAAGTGTGACTATTTTTTTAAGACCACTTAGCATGCTCAGATCATGACCTCAATTTGTTTATGTATTCACATACATAATGCCATAAAAGTCACCAAGTTTCATAACATTCTGATGAAGCTGTGATTTTTAAAATTTCAAAACATACTTTTTGTAATCCACATTGGTGTGTATGTGTATAAAAGTGTGTTTGTATGTGTGTGTGTGTGTGTGTGTGTATGGGTAGGTTTGTCTGTTTTGCACTCTAGATATTGTAGAGTGTCACCCCTTTTCTGCGGTGTACTTAGAATTGTGGCCGATTTGTAGATTGCACGTACAAAAATTCAGATAATTTTTTTTTTGTCAATTTCCCATTCATTTCCTATGGGGGTCATTTTTGACCGAAGACCACAAGTTTGACAATTTTTTTACGACCACTTAGCATGCTCGGATCATGACCTCAATTTTTTTTGTATTCACATACATAATGCCATAAAAGTCACCAAGTTTCATAACATTCCGATGAAGCTGTGATTTTTAGAAATTCAAAACAGAAAATTTTTCGGTCAGAAGTGACCGAAGAGCACCTGAGGGTTAAAAGAACATGTTTTGTTCAAAATTCATGTATGGCTTTGATCCACTTCATATGTTGACTACCATGTATACTGCACTTTACTGTTTTCCATGCTCTCACCTTTGCCGCTTCTCAGCCATCCGCAGCAGATCACAGACCAGCGTGGAGCGTGAACTGAGATCCACCTGTATCCCACGTTCCTGGAGGGCCGCCAGGGCCTGGTCCGGCCCAAAGACTTTGACCAAACGCAGGATGATGTTCTCTGGGCTGACCCGAATGCTCCAGTCATTTGAACTGTTTGATAGGTCAGAGGAACCATCACTCGTGCCATTACTGTTAGTGTCGTCTGAACAGGATCCATTGGTGCTGCTGGGCAGAGATGAAGTGGGCGGCACTTCGTCGACTGAAGAGATTTCCTGTGAGAGCTGGAGTAGCAAAACCCACTCATCAAGAGACTGAGGAACAATACCTACAGAAAGACAAAAGGCAATATTTTAGGGTGAGTTTACATGACAACCATTTGCTTGAAACAGTGCTGTTTTTCCTTTGAGTTGTCCAAGTACAGACGACACCAGTGTCAAAACGATCAACTCTATTCTGCTGCCAGGCCGTTAGATGGCGATGAACCACTGTAGACTGAACACGTAATACGTCGTCTTCAGAGATTTACTTTTTTGTTGTTTACACAGAGACCGTTTTCAGGCACCCAAAACGCTGTTTTCGTGTGAAACGACCCGTTATAATCGTGGGGTCGTCATATAAAACCATACTAATACTGTGTTTGACCCCCTTTCACCTTCAGAACTGCCTTATTTCTACGTGGCATTGATTCAACAAGGTGCTGAAAGCATTCTTTAGAAATGTTGGCCCATATTGATAGGATAGCATCTTGCAGTTGATGGAGATTTGTGGGATGAAGCTCCCGTTCCACCACATCCCAAAGATGCTCTATTGGGTTGAGATCTGGTGACTGTGGCGGCCATATTGGTACAGTCAACTCATTGTCATGTTCAAGAAACCAATTTGAAATGATTCGAGCTTTGTGACATGGTGCATTATCCTGCTGGAACTTGAAGTAGCCATCAGAGGATGGGGACATGGTGGCCATAAAGGGATGGACATGGTCAGAAACAATGCTCAGGTGGGCCGTGGCGTTTAAACGATGCCCAATTGGCACTAAGGGGCCTAAAGTGTGCCAAGAAAACATCCCGCACACCATTACACCACCACCACCAGCCTGCACAGTGGGAACCAGCATGATGATCCATGTTCTCAAGTTTTACGATTTAGTTGAAAACAGTATTGTGTAAACACCCCCTTAGATATGGATTAAATGCTGCAGAACTGATTCATGGGTTATTTAAAGCCTAGTCCACACGTAAACGGGTATTTCTATAAACAGTTTTTCCTCTTTCATTTAAAAAAAAAAAAATTCCCGTCCACATGAAAACGCAAAAAATACGCTATTAAGCTCTGGCAAGAGCATTACAAACCACCAGGTGGCGATATAATCCTAACCATAAAGCCATGTTGGCCAATCAGATACCTGGAAAAAAGGTTATTACCGTTCCTGTTCTGACTCACAAGACAAAATCTCCCCCGGTTTTACAGTCTACATGACAGTTTCTAAAAAATCTTCACCCTAACAGGAGTTTTCAAAAAGTTTGGTTTCAGTGACCGTTTATATTGACAGTCTCTCTTCGTCTGTTCATCTAAAAGACAGTTTTGAGTATCTGTGATTGTTTTACCATCATCCTCCTCTAGAAGCGTCATGTCATCCAGTCTGCAGATGGCGCTGAAAGCCTCTGCTCGCCGCTGCAACTCTCTGCACAGGTACAGGTAACCCATCCAATACCTGAGAGACAAATAACACACTCACAGTTTATACAACAACCCATTCTGATTGAATTCTATCCATTTTAATTCTACACTCACCCTTGAGTTTTACACATCTCCAGCATCTTCTGTTTGGAGGTCAGATCAGCAGGCAAGCGGATCAGCAGAGACAGCAGACGCCCATAACCCCAGCTGAAGAAATGAGAGTGCCACCTACAGCACAGGAGACAATATATTCAGCGAAATAGGAATATAGTATATTTACTCCCCGTTTCAAAATATGTCAGTGTCATTGTTTTGTCTCTTTTGACACGTTTATAAAAGCTAAAATTAAAATTAGAAGTCCTAATTGAAATGAGGCCTAAGCATTGGCTTAGTCTAAGCCCTGTCTGTGAAACCAGGCCATAGAATATATATATATATAAATATATATATATATATATATATACACACACACACATACATACATATACACTTTCAGTGCATAATTGTTTTGGGGACAAGATTTGTTTTACAGACAAAAATCGTTTTGTGTACCTGGGCTGTCCGTCAGGAGTGAGTGTGTCATCCCTTAGTGGGGCATCATGGGATAACGCCAGTTCCAGCCAATCCTGTCGCAAAGTTTCTGGCTGGAGAAGAGAACCCAAGAAAGACAACCTGGCAGATGACAAAAATAAATTAATATAGATTATTTTATGTGTTCAAAAACAAGAATACAACATCACAGTGTAAAAATGACACATACACAACCTTAACAATCATGACTAACACACATTGTAAAACATTGTATAAATGTAACACGGCCATACCGCTGCTGCTCGGCTCGTGATTGGACCAGATTGTCCAGATAAGGCAGGAAGTGGCTGGGTAAAGCCATAGCCATGATGTCAGAGGGGAGGATTGTGGGATAGAACTGCGGGTAGGCACGAACGGCCACCTCCCCGTGCTTCTCATAGAGTCTACGGAAAGAAAGCAAACATTACATTCAATATAAATAGTTTAGAGCTTTATTAATCCCCATGGGGCAATTCATTTAAACTGTCATGGTGTTTTACATATAATATAACACTGAACAAATACATTCAAATACTCAAAACTACACAAAATAAATGAAATAAATATATGATAAGTACATAATGATGTACAGTGGTGTGAATAAGTGTTTGCCCCGATGCTAAAGTTGCCTAAAAAGAGGAATAAAAAATCATCTTTTGGATATTGATCTTAATGCGTTAATTATAAAAATGAGGAAAACTCCAACCTTTAAGGACACCAATTTTCTTTGTGAATGAATAATGTATCATAAATAAATAAATGTTTTTCCTTAAAACACAGGGTGCATAAGTCAGGGCACCCCTATGTTAAATTCCCATAGAGTCAGGCATATTTTTATTTTTAAAAGCCAGTTATTTCATGGATCCAGGATAATATGCATCCTGATAAAGTTCCCTTGGCCTTTGGAATTAAAATATCCCCACATGATCACACACCTTCCACCACACCTAGAGATTGGCATGGGGTACTTTCCATAAGATCATCTTTCAATGCAAATCAAACCAGCTATTAGGCTAACTGAAGTAAAACCATGCCAATCTCTAGGTGTGGTGGAAGGTGTGTGATGATGTGGGGATATTTTAATCCCAAAGGCCAAGGGAACTTTATCAGGATGCATATTATCCTGGATCCATGAAATAACTGGCTTTTAAAAATAAAAATCTGCCTGACTCTATGGGAATTTAACATAGGGGTGTCCTGACTTATGCACCCTGTATTTTAAGGAAAAACATTTATTTATTTATGATACATTATTCATTCACAAAGAAAATTGGTGTCCTTAAAGGTTGGAGTTTTCCTCATTTTTATAATTAACGCATTAAGATCAATATCCAAAAGATGATTTTTTATTCCTCTTTTTAGGCAACTTTAGCATGGGTGTCCAAACTTATTCACACCACTGTATTCACACCTTTGCAGGTGACCATATTGATCATATATAGATTATGATCATCTATATTGATCATATATTAACTTTTTGAGCAATGTTGCCATTAATGGGCCCACGCCCCATCTAAATTATCCAGATAGAAATGTATTGCCCATTTTCAATGGGAAAGTGCCCAAGCAACAATTGCCCAGCAACATTGCCCAAAAAGTTGCCCTGTGTATCATCACCTTAAGTGTCTGTTTTGCTGTAAGTGATGTAAACTCACCTGTACAGGTGTGAGAGGAGCAGAGGTGTGTTCCAGGGCTGAAGTTCTCTCAGACTGCGCAGAGACTTTAGCAGGTCGTCCTTCTGAATCACTTCCACCACCTTGCTGGCCTGAGTGAACTCTACACCCGCCACAGACAGGTAATATTAATATTAAGGCATGACACCTCAGATGAAAAGGGTGAAAATAAACAGTAAAAATGATATCACCATACTTTCAAGTTCAAGTTAATTAAGAATTGCAAAAAAAATTATTATACATTTTCTGAAATTATGTTTAAATATGCAAATTAGGCATTCCATAGTTTAATGTGCAGATAATAATTATGTATATATTTCCAGACCATAAATCTGAACACTGGATAAAGCCAGGTTAAAAATTCCTTTCATTTTGTTAACATATTTTATTGACATATTTTGGATTTCTCTTATCATAAATCATAAAACACTAAAAAACAAAACAATTTCATTATGTTTTTAGGAATAAAACGTCGTAAAAAAAAAAAAAAAAATCAGCCTAAAATTTTTTTAAATACTGAAACGTGATTATGAAGTGATTGAAATCTACATATGCAAAATAGATGCAATAAAAGAAACACTTAAAATGTGAATATTTCCACTACTCTGAAAATAAATAGTTAAAAGTTATAAAAAGACAATGTTTTTTCCTGTAGTGTCTTTCCCTTGCCTTAGCAGAATTGCAATAGACCATTTCACAAGATGTAAACAACACTGGTCCAGAAGCACTTCCTGTTTCAGTTTTTTAACACTACATAAAAGCTGGATAAAATACAACCAACAGAACATTTAAAACTGAATCAAAAAGTTAAACAAACATCTTTATGTGAAATAAAGAAAACAGTTACAAACTGAAACAGGAAGTGTTTCTGGACCAGTATTGTTTACATCTTGTGAAATGGTTTTAACAGATACTATTAATTTTTGTGAAAACGTACCCAGCATGCCAGCGATGTACGCCTTCAGCACGTCTCGGTGCTCTCTGTATCTCAGCATACACATCTTCCTCACTCTCTCCTGGTCCAACAGGAAGAAGAACCTCCTCAGGAACACACACACACTTTCGACCCCTCCTCTACCGGGGCAGCCCATCTCCAGGTAAAGACAGGCCAGCTGTGAGAGGTCAGCCTGGAGGTCAGGGGGCAGAGGTTTGGGGGAAAACAGCTGGATTAATTCAACATGGTTAGCAAAAGGTGGAAATGACCCTCTGACTGGGGCAGTGGAACAAGGGATGGGCTCTCCAAGGTCCTCTTCTTCGGTGAGGGTTGCGGATTCATCCGGGTTAGTAGACGGCGCTGTTAAGATCTCTGGCTGAACCACGACGCAGCAGGACATCGATGAAACAAGCTCTTCCTCCTCCAGATGAGCTATTTCTCTAGGTACGCTGTGATCCTCCGGACCCAGAACCTTCTCCAGAACCGGGGCCCAGTCTTGGAGCACATCGCTGAGACAGACGGGGTCCAGTAAAACCATGGGGTTCTGGATTTGAGAGCTACAACAGAACACATATCAACTCTAATAGCAGTTCAGAGTGCAGTAAAAGGATCAGCAACTACAGTGATTTTCTAGTCATTTCTGGAGTATGATGCTACTATTTATTTAAAAATATTTTAAAGAACATATTTTAATTATTATAGATGCAATTTATGGTTTCACATTAATTAAGAGACTACAGTTTAATATATATTTATATTAATCTGAATAAAAATCCTTTGTCACAACGCAGGTCTATTAAAAATAAACAGCAAAAGGGTAAAAAGCACTGTGGAAAAATGGTGCATATAAAATACATAATTTCCCTTGTGCATTAATGTATTTTAAACAAAAATCTTGCGAAATAACTTGTTTATTGACTGAAAAGTTTTGGGTTAGTAATGTTTTTTTTTATGTATTTTGAAAGAACACTCTGTTTTATTGTTAAATGTTACTATATTTTGTAAATATTACATTTTGAAAACAACTGTTTTCTATGTGAATATATTGTTAAAGTGTAATTTATTCCTTTGATCAAAGCTGAATTTTCAGCATCATTACTTATTATGAAAATGTTCAGAAATCACTCTAATATGCTGATTTGATGCTTAAGAAACACAATATTATTATCATCAGTGTAATGCTGCTTCATATTTGTCTGGAAACCGTGATTTTTTTGATGAATATAATTTCGAAATGATTTGAAACGGAAACATTTTCAACAATATAATTCATCATTGCTGACCTTACATAATTCCATCTCTCATTAACCCTTGTGCATCCTTATGGATATTTTTGTCCTTTTCAGTTTTGTTTTTTTGATCACTTTGCCTGTGTTAAAGCTAACTGCAAAAAACTTGACACAGGTGTGTATTTTTATTGGAATTTTACTATTTCACCCTCATTTTTTTGCATTAGGTACAAAAAATACTCCCTCTCAACACCTTTTGGACAAAAATGTCCCCATTGAAACCCATTAAAACTACCATTTTTAATCCCCGGTTCAGTTACTATAAAATTATGCAATCTTTGTTAAGAGGCTTTCATTCTGATGGCAAGGCTTCAAAATTTTATTTTTTACTATTTTTTATCAGATGGTGCCATTTTTTTTTAAAGTTTGGCCTATAAACAAATATTGCTTTATTCCTGTTTTCTGGTTTGGCATATTATAGAGCCAACTGGATAAATTATGCAACGATATTTGTGTGGGTGTGTTGGTATGGATGTCAGAGTGTGGTTAGTATGTGTGTTATAAAAAAATATGTGTGTGTTTGTAATACTGAGAGAGAAAAACTGCAAATTCAAATCCAATCACTGTGAGCTCCAGTGGGGTTTTGCTGCCACCCAATGGGGAAAATATGTTACTACGCCCAAACAAAGTGTTACCGAAAGCTCATTTTTTGAGATATCATCCTCAAATTTGGAACACAACCTATTTAGATTTATGGCTTTGATTTTATTGCAGTTTTGAGTTCAACCTGATTTGTAACTGAATATATAACTTTTTTTTGGATTTACTTAGTATTATTTTTTTACTTCAGCAATAATCTGCAAAGGGTCCTCTACCAAACTTAAGTCTGTGCTCCAAAGCGTCACATTTTTATGACAGTTTTTTGACTTGGACATTTTTGTCCTCTTTTTTACCTATGTGTAACTTTTTTTAATTGATGCACAAGGGTTAATATGTAAATATTCTTTAGCGTATACTTGACTCTGAAGCAACTCACATGGCTTTCTTTGTGGCGGCTCTCAACTCCTGCAGCTCAGACTCGGAGCTGGACTGCTCAGCGTTCATTCTTATGGAGAGAGAGACAATCAAAAACCACAATAAAAAACAATGTAACTACATAAAACCATCAATAGCAGCGCATCAGTCAGACAACATTAACACACTCACTCATGCTCGCCTTCCTCTGGAAGAGGAGTCGCTGCGGCCGTGACCTCTTCTTGAACGCCGTCCCTGAGGTCAGGCCGAGGCCATAGCTCCGAGTTCATCTGAAGCGTGTTGATCTTCTCGGTCGTCTTTTTCACAAAGCTAGAGACACTGACATACACACATTTACAATTATAAATCTCTACAATCATAATCAAGCTCAGCGATGACAGTCCAAAACATAAGCAGCTGGTTTTCAAATAAACAACGTCTGCATACATGAACAACAAAGAGAAGGAGAAATAATTGGTAACCTCGCCAATCATGCGCGTAAAATGAGAGAATGTGTCAAGGACTTATGTGACACAATGACAAAACAGGAAGTTACAGTTTTAAAAATAACATGGGTATCAGCAGCTGCATTTTAATGAGCATTAGAGCTTCCTGATGACCCAGCCAATCAGACTGTGTCTGGTGTGAAATTTAAGAGGAAATGAAATTACAATGAAAAAAGGGGGAATTTATGTGGTCAGATGATTAAGTGTGTGTGTGTGTACCTGTCTCGAACAGCCTGCAGGGCGACTCGTGGGGGTTTTGAGCGGAAAGACAGAGGCAGAAACTGCAAGCCGAGGTCTGACCTGTCGCCCTCTCCACGCACAAACTGAGAGTCTTCAGGATAGCAAAAGAAGGAGTGGAAATGATAGAGAGAATGCGAATAAAGTGAGAAGATGCATGGAATAAAGCAAATAATAACTGATTCATCACATGACGAAGGTCAGCAAGATGTGTTCAAAACACCAGATAAATGATTAAACTGCTGCTCACTGATGTTTTTAGTGTATTTTATTGCAAAATATTTGACATACAACACACTGACAAACATTTACTACTGTAAAACCATTTAAAAATTCACAATATTGAGTGCAAACCGCAAAATTTGCCAGTCGCTTGGTTTTTATTTTGGTCGCAGGTGAATCACATTGGTTCCCTTTATTGAAAATCAAATTTGTTGTTAAAGATCTATTGTGATTGGCTGAGTTTGTTTGCTTTCAGTGCAGATGCAAAAAAAAAAAAAAACTTAATACATGTTCCTGGTATTATTATTCTCCATGCATGTTATTCCAAGTGCAAAATAATACGAGTATGCCCTGCCTCTAAAATGGCTTTCCTTTTCGGCTGATGTCACAGTAAATAAAATTAAGTCCCACTTTATATTTTTATATCTTGTTGCATATCCTTGCTCACTCTGAAATATGTTGGATTAGTAAAAAATTGGTTGCTTTAAGACACAGTGTTACAGTTTTTGTGTAGTTTTTCAAGCTTAATAGTAATGTGTTGAAGAAAGTCCCTTTCTGGTCACTAGTGAAATGCGAGTGGATTACTTCTCGTATTCAGACAAGGAATTCCCACTGAGAGAGCCAAACTCTTACTATTTCCCTTTTAGTTTTGAAATCGATCTCTCTCGGTCTCACCATTGTCCACCTGCTCTTCCTCAGTGAAATTGAACTCCTTCAGCCGCTCCTCCTCAAGCATCGATTGGTTGGCGAGGGAGCTGGCGTCATCATCTGATTGGCTGCCTCTCCGGCTGATGACGCGGTAGATGCCGCAGTCCAGAACGTTAAAGCTCTCCTGCGCAGGAAGAGTCATTTAGCATTTTAAAAAATGTGTCTCTATACATATGTGAGCCTGGACGACAAAACAAGTCACATGGGTCGATTTTATGAATTATAAATCATATGAAAGCTGAATAAATAAGCTTTCCATTGATGTATGGTTTGTTAGGATAGGACAATATTTGAACTATATGAAAATCTAGAATCTGAGGGTGCAAATAAAATTTAAACATTGAGAAAATCACATTTAAAGTTCTACATTTATGTTCGGGATTTGCTGCATTCACTCACAAAAATATATATGAAGAGTTCAGATGCAAAAGCCTCTAAATGCCATTTGAAATTTTCTTCTTTAATGATGATTTTTAATCAAACTTGTATATTTAAGTTCAGTAATTTCACTTAAATAACAATTAATAGGTAATTATTATTGCCATTTAAGTGAAATTACTGAACTTAAATATACAAGCTTGATAAAAATGATCATTCTAGAAGAAAATTTCAAATGGCATTTAGAGGCTTTTGCATCTGAACTCTTCATATATATATATATTTACAGTAGGAAATTTACAAAACATCTTCATGGAACATGATCTTTACTTAATATCCTAATAATTTTTGACATAAAATCGATAATTTTGACCCATACAATGCATTGTTGGCTATTGCCACAAATATACCGGTGCGACTTGTGACTGGTTTTGTGATCCAGGGTCACAGATGTCTGTGTTTTTACACTCACGTGCGAGGAAATGCTGCTTCTGCGGCTGCTGCAGGCCGAGTCCAGTGGCTCCAGTTTGCTGATCACTTCCTCCAGCTGACCAATCAGCTGCTGCTGGGAGGCGGAGTTTAGCTGAGCCTTGAGATGCTCAAGTCGATCAATGGGGAGGGACTTCCTGGCCTGAAGAAATACAGAAGAGATGTGATAAAATCGCCTGTACTCTTTTTGTGAAGAAAAAGTAGATACTTTTGAGTGTGTAGCAGGAGTACACAAGCTTTGGGACCTACTATCACGTCATACAATTGTGGTCGCTCTCTGTCACAGTAAACTGGCCTGTCAATCATCTTATCACAGTTAAAATCCTCCTAAAAATTTCCTTTAATTTAATTTAATTTAATTTCCTACTGTATCAGAGAGAAATGCAGAAGCACGTTGATCTGCAGACGCGCGTCTTTCATGCGGAGACTCTCCTCATATTAATGTATAATGATGCATTTAAAAGTTAATGTCTCTTTATAAAAGTCCACATTGTTATTGCAGAGGGAATATAAATGTTTCTTTATCAGGTTAAACTTAGATTAGTCACTCAAACCTTTATCTGAACCTCTCACCGTCGGTCGCGCATATCCACCATGTTTTGTAGATTTTAAACACTTTCTACTTGTGTATTTAATGCATGCTAAACAATAATACCTCTTTCTAGTGTGTAAAACTGTAAAATGCGTGTTAAATGTGTTCTTGTTAGTGTGTACCCTGGATGTAGTAACGGTGTGCTGGAACATGCAGCAGACGGTGGCGGCGAGCGTCCAGTTCTCCCTCTTCATCAGCCGCTCCACACAGCGCTCAGGTGACACCAGCAACAGGTGAGACAAACGTCCGTCACCATGGAGACAAAATACCTCGTTACGAAAAACTGAAATCTCCACCACGTCTATAGGGGGAGGAAGACAGACATGGTTCCTTCATATATTATATATATATATATATATATATATCTTTTTTTTTACAAAGTATATATATATATATATATATATTAGCAAACAAATATAAAAATGATTCTCATTCATAGAGAAAGAGGATAGTGACTTGTTTAAAGAGACAATTGAAGATATATGAGTTTATAGGATGTATTAGTATTAGGAGGCCTTAATAGTTTGTATGTGTTTTTTTATTTTTTTTATTTATTTAATTTATTTATTTATTTATTTATGTTTTATTATTATTTTTTTATGTTCATTAATCTTGAAGATGTGAGTCCTGTACAAATTGAGATATGCTAAGTTGTAATGATGCGAAAGACATCAATATGTGTCTATACTGTATTTTGTACTTTTGTTCTGGGTGTGTGTGTTTTATATGTTGGTAAAAAGTTAATAAATATATTGGAAAAAAATAAATAAATAAAAATAATACATACCGGTATATAAAAAAATTGAATTGTAAAAATAAATTACTTTTTTTCGCATACATTTTTTAATATATTTTTATGTTGTTGTTTTTTTGTTTTTTTTTGTCAATTGGGTGATTTTATATTATTACAATTTATTTATTACCATAATTATATAACTATTAATTGTATAGTATATATTTTAAGGAAGATGAGCTATAAAAGATGTCATACAATGTATTTTTTTTTAAATATGTGATTAAGTAGATTTTGGAGCGAATATACTTTTGTGCATGCGTCACTCTCATGATCTCTCACCTTTGACCTCTGTCCACAGCAGAACCTGACCACTGTGAGGGGTGAAGATGTAGATGGCAGAATCCGTCCAGGTGAGCAGATTTTGATCACTAAGAAAGTCAAATATTAACACCAAAATCCTTTCAAACCTGAGACGTTATCTTTGTAATCATAATACACACCACAGTTATGAAATACTGTGTCTTTACCAAAGAGGTCATGTGTTGTTTATTACAAGAAGTGGTTACCCAAACTGAAGGAGTCTTGGGAAAGCCAGAGATTGTGGACTCGTCTGTGCGGGATTGAAATGAGGCTCACTCCTGAACACAAGACATGTATAAATACGAACTAAGGGCCAAAATGATGTCACAAGTAAGCGTTAAACACACAAGCACACACTTGTAAGAGACGAGGGGCAGCGGTGGGCAGGCCAGCAGCTGTTTGAACTGGTGTGTGCTCAGGACTTCTCCACTGAAGCTGGACTCCCATATGCGTGAGCCGGGCCGGGCGCAGTACAGCAGGGCAGGAGGACCGCCCCCCTGACCCCGCTGACCCTGCAGGAGAAAGCACGCCCCAAACTCTCCGTCTCGCTCTTTATTACCCACACGCCAGAACTTCTCCCTGAGACAAAGAGAAACAGGAACAGACTGAATTTATTTCTTAAAAGTATGTATGCATTAAAAGGTATGCATTTCTTTAATGTGTATTAATAAATTTAAAACGCATTAAAAAGGTCTGCAAAGTTACAAAGCACCCTGTCAAGTGTGCCTGAACTCCCTGAAACGCCTCCATTGTAGTCTTGAGTTTCTTCCGGGAACGAACACATCACTATATTCCTCATTATAATAATTAATTTGCAGAATAAAGGGGCGGGGCCTGGTTGAGTAAGTCAGTAATGTGTTAAAACTGGCTGTTATGGTAAGGGGCTAATCACAACACACCAGCCGACCAATCAAAGCACACTGTGCTTTTCAGAAGAGAGGAGCAGCAACAATGGAGAATGTGTTTCTTGAACATTCAAGTATGAAAACCTATTTTGGCAGATTCCTTTTTCTTTTTTTTACATTTGATATACATTTAATCTAAGTTATGGTCTGAGGACATGTGATATCAATGTTTGATATGATAAATTTGATTTAAAGTGAATAAATCGTTTTTTTAACTAATTGCTGGTAAAGGGAGATCTATGTTTCCTGCCAACTCACACACACACACCTTTCTGTGTCACACAGGTAGCAGCGGCTGAGAGACGAGACCATCAAGTGTCCGTCTGTGTAACCCAGCTGAACCACACGTGAATCCACAGTGGTGATGGTCTGAACTGGGAAGATCACAAACGCAGAGCCCTGTTTGAAAGCAAAACCAAACCACAAACAAACACACAAGCTCCGATTAGTAAAACAAACCTTTTAAAAAAATTACTGTAAAGTTTTTAATTTCCTTTTTAGGATGGATTTTGTGTGTGCGTGTGTAGTGTGTATTTGTGTATCACTTTGTCTAATGTCTATGCTTGTTGGCTGCAATCAAACTGCCTTCGGGAACTGAATAAAGATGAACTGAACAATAGGGCTGGGTATTGAGACAATTTTCACAATTCGATTCGATTTCGATTCACAAGCTTCCAATTCAATTCGATTATGATTCAATTTGGATTATTTTGGATATCAGTTACAATAAATGGCCATTTTTCTCAAGGGAATCAAATCTCTTAACTAATGCTGTAAACTATGGGAGTCTAGTTGTAGCCTATAGGCTTCATTAGCCTAATATGAAGGTAATAATGAACTGTTTTGTAGCTATACAAACACTTAAATTACACTTTTATTTATTTTTATAAGAAGAAGATTATATGAAATATAAACATTTAAATGGTGGCTGTCATAAAAACTTGCCAGATTTATTCAAATATGCATTAAATATTGAAGAACATTAAGATTATAATGCACATGTAATATGGTGTATATATTTAGCAAAATGCTCCTCTCTAGAGTTATTTTTTCTAGCTGACTAACGAGTTTATGTGGGTTTTCTGAGGTAAATATGACGATACATTGATTACAAGCTGTTTAACTGACGTCTTTCCACGGTTGAAACGCTGATTGAGCGAATCAATGTGACATGATACGGATTTGGATAAGTTGTACTGTATCTTTAACACACTTTCAGATGCTCATTCATGTTTATTTGGCGCTGTGACTGGTATTATTAAGCCGGAAGAGAGATCAGCGCTGCTGCTTCTCCAAAGCGATCTCAACGCCACAGCGCCAAAACGTTATTTATGTTTTTGAATTTCTAAAGAAAATGGACAGAATTTGAAAATTGAGACTTTGTTTCATATCAATAGTAACAAAGGACAAAGATTATTGCGATTTTTTTGGATGCACGCAGCTGCGATACAATGATCCATTCATTCTAATGAAACAGGATGACTAATCGATTCTTGAGATTTAAGAATCGATATTGGTTCGTAAAAATGAGAATCGATTAATATCGAGAAATCGATATTTATAACCCAGCCCTACTGAACAAGCATAGATTCAAAATCACTAATTGTTATTTCAATTAAATACACTACCGTTCAAAAGTTTGGGATCAGTATGAACAGTTTTCTTATACCTTCCCGAGTTTAGACGACCCAGCCCGGACGTAGGACACTTTTCCCCCGGCATCTCCAGCAAACACTCGGAGGGCCACGGTGTCCCAGCACAGAGATGTTACCGTCTGTCCGCGATGCTCCCAGGACACACACACACGCTCCGGACGGCCGCGCCTCTCCAAGTGCAGCTCCCACACCACCACCACCCCCTGACTGGGGCACACACACAACAAAAGCATTCAGATTAGCAACTACAAACACCAGGAACACATATAAAGGCAGACGTGGCGAAGATGAGCACCTTGTTGCTACAGCAATGAAGTCCTCATCATGGGGGCAGCATGAGACCTGCGTGATTGAGCCTTCCTAAATAAAGACAAAGAAGATATATAATTCTAATGTCGACAAAAAACTATTGCGAAATGACTCCGTTTCCATTAACCGATGTTATGCGACTAAAGTGTAATTTTTCCTTTTGCGATAGTCGTACGAAAAATCATCATGGCAATGGCTGCACTAGACATTATTTTTAATCGAAGGAGACGTGTGTGTTATCCAAGGATCAATGGAAAAGCCCTTATATTATGCGTGGCACATACGAGGCGTTTCTCATTTCTGCTTCAAGGTCTTGAAAAATTGTTGCATTTCTTTGTTGTTAAGAATCCAGTGTTGTATTCCCAGATTAATTTTGTCTTTTATGACTTTAATAAAGAACTGTCTTGTCTTGTGTCCAAAACCACCTCATGCGAGTGTAAAAACTTTTGGTAACACTTTATTTTACGACCTGCAAACAACTGCATAAGTAAACCAAAATTACGGTGTATTAAAGTGTATTAACATTAAAGTGTGCCTCCGTGTAGGTAAAAGGGAACAATATGTTAAGTTTTGGGTAATAAAGGGGTAACACACAGATGTACAAGCAAATTATTTATAATGTAATTATTTTAAAACTAACAGGTACCTATTCTGTTAATATATTCCAGGCAAAAATTTTACAACTGTTGTATATAAAAGTTATCGTCACATTTCTGGCAAAGTATGTTCTTGTGCAATTTTACAGGGTAATTTTGACATCTGTGGGTTGAATATATATATATATATATATATATATATATATATGTTAGTTTTGTTAGCCTGGTTTTTAAAAACCTGTAAAATAATTACATTATAAATAATTTGCTTGTCTGCGTGTTACCCCTTTATTACCCAAAACTTAACATATTGTTCCCTTATACCTACACAGAAGTACACTATATTTACAGAAACGTACACCGTAATTTCGGTTTTCTTACGCAGTTGTTTGCAGGTCATAAAATAAAGTGTTCCCAGACTTATTTGTCGAAACTGACGCGTTTCCATTGGGCGTATTTTCAAATCGAAATCTCAATTTGCGCTTTTTAAAGGTAATGGACTCGTGGCTAGTGATGAACACTTTAATTTTCACTCAGAAAATTGTTATGGCCGATATTCTAAATCTTTTTTTAGAGCATCCAAAGACATTAACGTTTCTCGAGTCTCAGTTTTTTTACATTCTGTCCCTATGTTCACTCGTCTGTAAACACTTCCTACTTTCTTGCTACTTTGAAAAACACTTTTCGTGAGTCAAAGCAGAGCATGATGTCAGTGAAAGATGATACCAATATAGACGACAATAAATATTGCATCACTACTCCGACTATGCCTGTGTGATCGATAACTACATCACAGTGCTAATGGAAAGCAGGAAGAAGCAAACACATAATGCATACACCATTGCAGACCGTACAAAGATTATTACACACAATTGATAACATTGGACAAGCGCATTTCAACACCAGTGCTGATAGTTTTATGCATCAACTCAGTCACTAACTGTGTTAAAGGGGAACTTGTGAAATGGGTTGGTTGTGTGTACTTTGTGTGTGAGGATGAGTTTCTGCTTCCAGCCGTCTCTCTGAATGAGGTGAAGTCCTCCGGAAGACGTGCCCAGAGCGAGCCACTTTTTGGACACGGAGAGGCATGTGCACTGCGGGACACAGACAGACAGAGTCACAGGTCACATTTCAACCTAACCTTTAGTTATAAAGCACTTTTAACACAATAAAATTGATCCAAAGTGCTGTACATAGTGCATAGCAGGACTACACTATAAAACAACAACAAATTACAGGTTTCCAAAAGCTAAATAAAAATGTGTTTTCAAAGTAGATTTAAAAATGTCATCCTGAATTTAGAGAGAAAGATACGCAACTACCACTTTGATGCTTCAAAAACTTCATAAAGTGTTCATCATATACAGTGATCGAGTCTCTTTAGAAAATTTGGATTAAACCGCTCAATTCATATCGATTTTTTTATTTATTTTTTATTTATTTATTTATTTATTTAATATGGACATAGCAATAACATTGGACGAACCAGATGCATTGTTTAAAGTGTAATAGCACATGTGCTAATTTTCAACACCTGTCCATAGGGGCTTTTACTACAGATAAAAACACATTATAAAACAAGACAAAGATCATTTACACATGGGAACAACTTTGGCCCGATTTCAGCCACTGTTTAAACTGATTAGTTTTACATCTCTTTATGACGAGTCAAAGTGGTAAATAGTGTCAATGGAGGGACAGAAATCTCTCACATTTCATCAAAAATACCTTAATTTGTGTTTCGAAAATGTCTTACTGGTTTGGAACAACATGAGGGCGAGTAATTAATTACAGATTTTTCATTTTTGGGTGAAGCATCCTATCAAGCAATACGTAATGTTATATTTCTTTCTTTCTAAATTCAGGATGAAATGTGACCTGTACATTTTGTGAGATTCACTCTAATATTCAGAAAATAGCTATGAAGATAATTTTCATGAGAATTAAGCCACCCAGTTGTCATTAACGCAATTAAACAATAAGATAATCCTCATTATTGAAATTCAAAAATATTACATGCAACATTTAAATGACAATTATATACAAGTGGTTATTTTTCAGGATGTTTTAACAGCATTTATATGAAATAGAAATATATTTGTGACATTGTAAATGACATTTGATCAATTTAATGTTTTCGATTAATAAAAGTAAAGTATTATTTCTTTAATTTCTAATAATCTAATACTGTAATGTCACAATGCAAAAAAAAAATGTTAAAATATTTTCTTTCCTTTTGGTTTTGAGGTGAAACTGCTTGACCCGAACATGTTTTGTTTAATTCATCTACTAAATTATTCCACTTTATTATTCTTATGGCATGAAATCAAATAAATTGAACAGAATCCGAAAGACGTTTAATTAAGCTCCCTCAAAGGTAAAAACCACAACCGCAATTCAGGTCAGCTTGGATAACAGTTGCCATAAAAGCTGCACAAATAAACTCTTCTACTCTTTCACAATAGCTGAGGTAGTTGAGTAGGTAAGTGCGTATGTTACTTTGATACGTCCCGAGTCCAGTCGCAGGGCGGAAAGGAGGGGGTCCAGACAGTCAAACTCTGCCAGGACATGAGTGCAGGACTCCACAGGAACCACGGGAATCATCCTGCACCGGCCTGAGAGGAAACGACAATAACATTGGCTTTTTAGTGGGAGCCATTAGTGAACATAGCATGTATTTCTGTGTAGCCTACATCATAGATGCATTTTTAGGCATCATAATGTATTCCAAACAGCAACTTTGGGCATGGCATGTTTTAACAAGCAACCAATCAGAAATATATGCAAACATTTGTTACTAGGTACACAAACATTCAAACAGGTGATTTAAGAGCCCAATCAGCAGCACTTTTGGTCATCATAAGTGCGTTCTGAGTCTAATTATGCCCAAAAATGAGCCCTCAACAGGCAGCAGCACAGTGAGTGAGCTCACCAGGTTGAGACACAGCCTTCCTCAGAGTCATATGATTCCAGGGAAATTCAATTGAAAAAGCATGACTACCACGCATCTCTCCTCTATTTTTTGTGATTTTCCTTTGCTTTTCCACACAAAAATAGTTCCATTAATGGACAATGTATACAGACATAAACTAGATGATGGAAAGCAATGCTTAAACTGACCATATATCGAACAAAAACGTAATATATAATCTATTTTAGGGAACTTTTATTCGCTTTATTTGTTTTACACACATTTGAAAGTCAGCAGAAAAGACAAAACGCTTACTCTCTCACACATATACACACATTTTACCACTTCCGCTTAGTTTTGAACACAAATTTACAAGAGTTCATTTTGTGGAAAAACTACACAACGTTAACGGTGAATCTCAAAGTTAGAAGTTATAAATCAAACCGCCGCGTTAGCCGATTAGCATGACTCTGTCAATCACGAGATCCGAGTTTAAAACTCGCCAAAACAGCAAAAAAAATCCGAAGAAATCTATTTTTGTCTCGGTTTTTGTCTTACAAAACAATTTATTTAAGGTAACGTTAAACGTTGCTCCTGAGCTGGAAATGTAGGTACTTTCACAATCAACGTTTTAGTTTCTACTTCTCCTCGCCATTCCTTCCTTAAATCCGTAGTTATATCATTTAAACGTTAAAGGCAATATATAGAACAACATTTTTAAACGTTATTTGTTTTATAAATAAATAAGTTGAACTTATTTGAGTTGCTAAATGTCACCTCAAGCATTTCAACAACGTATTAAACATGAATTAAGATGTCTAAACTGGTTTATTTTACCTCCTCCTGAGTTCCAGACGCATTTAAATCTGCGAAACCTCCAGAAATGTAGTAAAAATGAATCATTTAGTGTGTAAAGTGACGATTATGTGTTTCTTTTCGCCACTGTAATTCCTGCAGTGTGTGTTTGACAGCTGACTGAAAACTGACCGGCGCTACTTCTCCATAGCGATCCACTCATTGAGACGCGCAGTGATTCACACTCGCCCGGGGAACTATTTCTGGCGCCTTTAGACCTCACTTACTATCAAATACATAGGGAACTACTCAAACCTACTCAAAGCAAAACTTAAAATATCTTCTAATCATGCATGAAAAAAACATCCAAGTATTATTTGAACATATCTGCTTTATAAACAAATGATTCTCAAAGACGCGTAGGTGTTCCAGCTGTAGTTTGGGGTCCATTAAAATCTCTGGTTGGTATTGATTGATATTTGAGACGCCCGGGAGAATAAAGGCTGTTCCATCACCAGAAAGCAAAAATAGCCAAGATTCGACCCTCAAACATCTTACGCCCTTGAAATGTATATGTTTAAGCACCATACAGACAAAGATTTAGGAATTGTATTATAAAGATAGCCTTCACTAACTGCAAGCACAGAATGACTTAACTGAACTGTATGGTGGATCATGAGAAGAGAATGTAACAGTATTGATTACAGCATACAGTCTGAGACCAATACAAAAAGAGTTAACTTCTTAGTTAATGGGTTTACATTTGATTAGTGGCCTATACAGTGGAAACAGTGCAGTCTTAATTTTTTAGTTGCTCAAAATCTCTTTGTTTTACATTAAGCTGCTCAATTCTGTTTGAGCTGACATTATTTGTTATAAACTATGTCTAGAAGAAAAATGTGGCAATTGATCCAAGGAAGTAGAGGTTTTTTTTTAAAGAAAAACAGTGCAAAATTTAATTCCTGTCTCTGAAAACAATCAAATAAAAGTGTTTCCTCTTCAGGGGTTTCCTCGCTGATGGTTACCTGAGTATTTTGAGGAAGCTCTTTTAATGAAACACACCAGTTTAATTGTTTAAATCTTGACTTTATTTGAAATAACATACACAACGGAGAGAAGACACATTATGAAGCAGTGCGGATGAGCATGTACACGTGTTTGTGACACACAGATCAGTACTTGCACTACATTACATAAATTATTATTACTATTATCTTTTACAGTATTGCCATACCCCTCCCCTTGGCATGTCTTGAGCGACTGATTTCCAATCAGCCTCAAGTCTCGGGAGGATTCAAACTATTTATCCGATTTGTAAAGAGTCCTCGACTTAAAAGCTTTTCCCTCAAACCGAGTCCTTTGCATTAAACGTTATAAGTTCCTGAGATCTTTCCATGGTATCATTGAGCCAAGTTTGGTCATTGTAGAAATACAACTCTGTTAAAATTTCACATCTTATAGGAAATGAAATCATCCACTGAAAGTCAAGTCAAATATATTTATATAGCGCTTTTCACAATACAGATTGTATCAAAGCTGCTTCACAGTATCAATCAAGACAACATAACAGTGTTTGTTTATTCATGAAAAGACAATCAAGTTTGGTAGAGCTGATCAATGGTATGATGGGTCATTTAATTTGAATATCCCCAACTGAGCAAGCCAAAGGCAACAGACCGAAAAACTACATGAAGTGAAAAAAAAAAAAAATGGGAAAGCCAAAAAACGGAACGGAACAAACAAAGTAAAAGAGAGAAGTACATAATTACAGTTATTTCTGAGCACCTCCAGCTCTGATTGGCTGTAAAATCCACCCATAAGGCCCCAGTCGGCCCAAGCTGGGAGAGTGTGTCTTTGTTCCTCTCCCTTTTCTTTTCTATCTTTCATCCTTTTCTCACAGTCAAAAAATATATGAATGAAAATCTAACATGCCTAAGACTTTTGTATAGTTCTGTATATTTAAACATTAATATTCTATCTATATCCATAGGCTCATTATAGGCGCCAACACAATGTTTGTGCCCGATCAGACTCAACTAATCAAAGGCGGCTCTCAAAAAATACATGCTGTGAGGCTAAAATGGTTTGCACTCTGGTAAAGACTGTAGACAAAAGGGGAGGATCTAGTAGGTGGGTTAGCAAAGTGAAACGAAAAATATATATATTATATTTTTTTGGTTGCTTTTGTCAGTTACTTTATAAGATTTTTATTTTATGTTTCAGGAGCAGGAACCCCCCTAACAATATCATTTATGGGACCTGGGTATTGTGCGGCCCTGATATGCAAGAATACTGATTCTATGTGTTCTATTGTATTTATTATAATCTTGCATATTGAATAGTACTAATGCTAGACTAGTAGTCTTTCATGTCACTGTTTATAACACAGAGCGTTCATCCTTTGCTTTGACGCTTAAACATTTTTTGGGGGCATAAATTAAGAGTATGCCCACTTCTCCAGGCACCACTACATCACTGGTTATGCCCTCAAAGATTTGAAAACTCAATAAAAAAAAAAAAAAGGAAAAAAGTTATGCCCTCAAAGATGGCGTCTCCGGGGAGGTCACGTGTAGTTTTTCATATGAGGTTAACTGCAAGACAGAAAAAAAAAAAAAAAAAAAAAAAAACAACAACTACAAGACAGAAATCAAACTTCACTCTAAATAAGATTATTTTCATCCTACTAAGAAAAACGATGTGAAGTTGATCGTTTAGTCAGTGGCTTGATTTACTGATGCATAAATAGTATTAAAAATTTGTAGAGAAAGATAATCTGTCTGAACTTGAGCATTATCAGAAATCACAGATCATGCATGCATTAGAATAAACATGATTATTATGTGAAATGCACCGAATATAGGCAAAAAACAAAAAAACAAAAATCAAATGTGATGCAGACTAGTGCGTAGGCGTTGGCCGTCTGCCAAGGCGTCATCTCGCTGCACTGCCCTGTGACATCACAGTAGCCTCCGCTGAACTTCACTGTCTCTCCGCTTGGTTTCGAACGTCTTTGGAAGAACATTGAATTTGTGAATCTTGCACGGTTTTATATTGTTATAACGAAACTCTGAAACGTCCAAACAGCAAGGAAAGAAGAAGCAGATGACCCACCGGTCTGTGAAACTTGCCGTGAATATTAATCAGAATAGCTGGACCCTGTCCGACGACGACAAGGTAACTTAAGTGGTTATAATTGCTTTTTTTAGTAACGTTATGTTTGATATAGCGTGAAATTTAACTAATTTAGTGCAAAGTGCCCGAACAAAATCAGTTTTTGTGTGTTTTAGTAATTGTTGGTTTTTATGTGTTTATGTCAGAATGATTATTTTTGAACCACAACCGTCTAAGTGCTTCTTATAGTTATTTACTGATATACACTACTACCGGTCAAAAGTTTTATATTGGTAAGATTTTTTATGTTTTTGAAAGAAGTATCTTCTGCTCACCAAGGCAGCAATTATTTGATAAAAAAATACCCCAAAAGACAGTAATATTGTGAAATATTATTACAATTTAAAACAGCGGTCTATGTAAATGTATAGTGAAGTGTAATTTATTCCTCTGATCAAATCTGAATTTACAGCATCATTACTCCAGTCTTCAGTGTCACATGATCCTACAGAAATGATTATAATATGATGCTCAAGAAACATTTATGATTATTATCCATGTTGAAAACAGTTTTTAAATAAAAACAATTTTTATTTCAGGATTCTTTGATGATTAGAAAGTTCAAAAGAACAGAATTGATCTGAAATGGAAAGCTTTTGTAACATTAATCACTACCATTCAATAAGAATTTATTTTTTATTTTTGGGGGAAAGAAATTAGAAAATACTTTTATTCATCAAGGATGAGTTAAATTGATCAAAAGTTACAGTAAAGACATTTATAATGTTAGAAAAGATTATATTTTAAATAAATGCTGTTCTTTTGAACTTTCTATTCAACATAGAATTTTGGGGGAAAAATGGTACACGACTGTTTTCAACATTGAAAATAATAATTTAGGTTTTTTGAGCATAAAATCAGCATATTAGAATGATTTCTGAAGGATCATGTGACACTGAAAACTGATGTGTAATCAGCAACAGTAATGATGTTGAAAATTCAGCTTTCAAATTACATTTTAAAATATATTAAAAAAGAAAACAGTAATTTTAAATTGTCATAATATTTCACAATATTACTGTTTGTCATTTTTTTTTTCATCAAATAAAGCAGCCTTGGTGAGCAGAAGAGACTTTAAAAACATACTGATCTAAGACTTTTGACCGGTAGTGTATTTTGCATTTATAGCTAATCCAAACAACGTCAAACTCGTCACTGCACCCGTAGCAAGACACCAGTCAAGTCTGAAATCCATCACACACAAACACACACACACACACACAGACGTTCCTGTAATTTTTAGATAGATTTGGGCCGCTCAGTTTGAGTTATATGAGTTATATGTTGATTGATGTTGTTCTGTCTCTGTTTCAGTTGAGAATGGCCGTAAAACTTCCTGCGATCACTAAGGGACTGGTGGACAACAGGAACCATCGCCCACAGCTCAGGTGTGTGTGTGTGCTCAGACGTCAGTGTGTAGCTGGTTAACATAGTAACTCAGCGAGGTGTTTATTTGAGCTGCGTCTCGTGTATATATAAAACATCTAAACAAGATGTAGAAATTATTTTGAAATAAAATAAAACATTAAAAAAATATTCTATTTAATTTGACAAATAATAAAAATGTTATTTATGTTATGTTATATATCTGGTTTTACAGTGTAAACACACAGAGAAAGAAGGAGGAGCTCCTACAGCTGACTCAGGGAAAGCAGTGGACCAACCAGCCGATCATGACGCAGGAGTCAGATCACAGGAGGGACCGTAAAATGGTAAGTACTTGACCGAGCTTTATTTTTAAAGAGGCGTTTACAACAAAAAAAGCATTTAAGGCTTAAGTTATCGAGATAAAAATCAACCCGATTTCAAGGGGGGACCAGATTTGTCAACACAACAGCTTCACGAACAAGAAAAAATGTTGGGCGGGGCTTAAAAAGGAGAATGGCGGTGAAAACACAAACCTGCCAGACATTAAGGGGTTTTATGCAACATTTATCGCTTATTAAGGGATTACTTAAATGAAAAAACAGCATTTATGGGAAATTCTAAGTGTTTATGACGTTACACTTGATTGAAATAGTACACCATTTTAAAGGGATAGTTGATTAGCAGTTGTAAATCATTTATTTATTAAACAGGTACCATATATATTTATCTGTTTATTTCTTCATTTTTAATTTCTGCAGGTTTCGTCCCCCATGAAGAAGCAGCAGTCAACTCTGTTACCCATGAGGGATTGGGAAGAGCAGCGGCAAGAAAACATGCATCAACAAATGGTATGAGGGAAAACATGTTGAAAAACAGTTTGTGAATAGGCTACTACGAATGATGGCCGTGAATAAAATATAATATTCAGAAGTAAACATGTTAGAAATGTTAGTGACCATAGCTGATATAAATAAGTTTGTTTAATTTGATTTCAGCTGATGCTTATTCTTCTGTTGCTTATTGTTCTGTCTCTCTCTCTCTTTCTCAGCTGATGAAGGCCAAAGCTGCGGTGGACACCAAGGGCCCCAAAACATTCCCACATATCACAGGCAATCGGAAGAAAGTCCAGGTATTTGATTAATTCATATAGTTATATTAGCTAAATTATATATATATAGCTCTGTAACAGTACTATTGCCGATTACAGTGATGTGTTTGAAGTAACGTGGAGTAGATGAAATGCATGATAATAACAGAGTTTTGTCTTCAGTTGCAGAAAGAAAGCAAGATAGCGGAGGAAAACCAGCAGAACCGCCAGCGAATCCTGATGCTGGAATCGGATTTCAGGAGGGAACGCTGGGAGGCAGAATGGGGAAAGGTGCAGCAATGGAGAGACCACTGCAGACGGTTTCCCAGAGGAGAGACCAACAAACAGGTATGATCGTAATTCACACTTTATAAAGCTAATTTCTTCTTCATTTTCTCGCCTTCATCATGTTTCTGACCCTTCTGTGAAACACAATAGCACACATTTTGGATGCTCACGCCGCTCTTGTTAATTAGCCTGTGAAAAACAGCAGGTCAAGTGGGTTCGAAATTATTATTTTAAAGCCCTAAATGGTTTAGCTACTCAAGACTTGAGCGAGATTTATTTTTAAAGAGGCGTTTACAACACAAAAAAACATTGAATATCTATTTATCTGTTTATTTCTTCATTTTTCATTTCAGCAGGATTTGTCCTCCATGAAGCCGTCAACTCTGTTACCCATGAGGGATTGGGAAGAGCAGCGGCAAGAAAACATGCATCAACAAAAGGTATTAGGGAAAACATTTTGAAAAACAGTTTGTGAATAGGCTACTACGAATGATGGCCGTGAATAAAATATAATATTCAGAAGTAAACATGTTAGAAATGTTAGTAACCATAGCTGATATAAATAAGTTTGTTTAATTTGATTTCAGCTGATGCTTATTCTTCTGTTTCTCTCTCTCTTTCTCAGCTGATGAAGGCCAAAGCTGCGGTGGACACCAAGGGCCCCAAAACATTCCCACATATCACGGGCAATCGGAAGAAAGTCCAGGTATTTGATTAATTCATATAGTTATATTAGCTAAATTATATATATATAGCTCTGTAACAGTACTATTGCCGATTACAGTGATGTGTTATGAAGTAACGTGGAGTAGATGAAATGCATGATATTAACAGAGTTTGTCTTCAGTTGCAGAAAGAAAAAAAGATTGCTGAAGAAAACCAGCAGAACCGCCAGCGAATCCTGATGCTGGAATCGGATTTCAGGAGGGAACGCTGGGAGGCAGAATGGGGAAAGGTGCAGCAATGGAGAGACCACTGCAGACGGTTTCCCAGAGGAGAGACCAACAAACAGGTATGATCGTAATTCACACTTTATAAAGCTAATTTCTTCTTCATTTTCTCGCCTTCATCATGTTTCTGACCCTTCTGTGAAACACAATAGCACATTTTGGATGCTCACGTCGCTCTTGTTAATTAGCCTGTGAAAAACAGCAGGTCAAGTGGGTTCGAAATTATTATTTTAAAGCCCTAAATGGTTTAGCTACTCAAGACTTGAGCGAGATTTATTTTTAAAGAGGCGTTTACAACACAAAAAACATTGAATATCTATTTATCTGTTTATTTCTTCTTTTTTAATTTCTGCAGGATTTGTCCCCCACGAAGCCGTCAACTCTGTTACCCATGAGGGATTGGGAAGAGCAGCGGCAAGAAAACATGCATCAACAAAAGGTATTAGGGAAAACATTTTGAAAAACAGTTTGTGAATAGGCTACTACGAATGATGGCCGTGAATAAAATATAATATTCAGAAATAAACATGTTAGAAATGTTAGTGACCATAGCTGATATAAATAAGTTTGTTTAATTTGATTTCAGCTGATGCTTATTCTTCTGTTGCTTATTGTTCTGTCTCTCTCTCTCTTTCTCAGCTGATGAAGGCCAAAGCTGCGGTGGACACCAAGGGCCCCAAAACACTGCCGCTTATCAGAGGCATTCGGACGAAAGTCCAGGTATCAGATTAATTAATATAGTTATATTAGCTAATTATATATATATATATATATATATATATAGCTCTATATCAGTACTATATTACTAGTCATAATTGGCAATAATTGGTAGGTGCCAATTATTTAAACAGATGCCAATTATTTACAAAGAGCAGTTTCTGTTCATTACACAATAACATTAACCATTCATTTAGTGCAAGTAGTCTACTGAACACACTATGCAGTTTTCCATTTTTTTGTCAAACAGTATTTGTATTTAACGTTACTGTCTTTATTATTACCTGTTCAGTAGGAAGGAAGCGCCGGACATCGAACAGGCACAGAAAAACTCTGAAGATGTCAAGTCACATTTATTGGGAAAACCCAGGATCTGTCGGGGGCCACTTCTCCTCAGGCCATCGAATACCTACCCACCTACCTACCTACCTACCCACCCACCCACCCACCTACCCACCCACCTACCTACCCACCTAACCACCCAGGTGGGTGGGTGGGTGGGTCGGTCGGTAGGTAGGTTGGGTAGGTAGGTAGGTGGGTGGGTGGGTGGGTGAGTCGGTGGGTAGGTGGGTGGGTGGGTGGTTAGGTAGGTGGGTGGGTGGGTAGGTAGGTAGGTGGGTGGGTGGGTCGGTGGGTAGGTAGGTGGGTAGGTAGGTGGGTGGGTCGGTGGCTGGGTCGGTGGGTAGGTGGGTCGGTGGGTAGGTGGGTGGGTGGGTAGGTAGGTGGGTAGGTAGGTAGGTAGGTGGGTTGGTGGGTAGGTGGGTAGGTAGGTAGGTAGGTGGGTTGGTGGGTGGGTGGGTGGGTAGGTAGGTGGGTAGGTAGGTAGGTAGGTAGGTAGGTAGGTGGGTAGGTGGGTGGGTAGGTAGGTAGGTGGGTAGGTAGGTAGGTAGGTGGGTAGGTAGGTAGGTAGGTAGGTAGGTGGGTAGGTAGGTAGGTAGGTAGGTAGGTGGGTGGGTAGGTAGGTGGGTTGGTGGGTGGGTGGGTGGGTAGGTAGGTAGGTAGGTGGGTAGGTATTCGATGGCCTGAGGAGAAGTGGCCCCCGACAGATCCTGGGTTTTCCCAATAAATGTGACTTGACATCTTCAGAGTTTTTCTGTGCCTGTTCGATGTCCGGCGCTTCCTTCCTACTGAACAGGTAATAATAAAGACAGTAACGTTAAATACAAATACTGTTTGTTTCCATAGTGTGTTCAGTAGACTATTTGCACTAAATGAATGGTTAATGTTATTGTGTAATGAACAGAAACTGCTCTTTGTAAATAATTGGCATCTGTTTTGGGAGAGACCCAGGCCGTACCGCGCAGATGGACTCCACCCCAGCAGAATCGGAGCGGCTGTGCTGTCGGACAACATCTTTCCAACATCTGTATTGTGAAAAGCGCTATATAAATAAATGTGACTTGACTTGACTTGAAATTGTCTCAACATTATTGTGTATTAAAAGCCATTCTAAATAGGTGGGTTTGAAGTTTAGTTTTAATCAGCAATTGTGTGAATATCAGGGGGTAGCTTGTTCCAGAGTCTCGGAGCAGCAACTGCAAATGCCTGATCACCCCTTTGACCTTGGGACTTCCAAAACCATTTGTTTTGAAGACCATAACAACCGGCTGTGCTCACGCAGGGTTAACATCTCAGAGAAGTACTCTGGTCCGGGCCAAACCAAATCAAGCACAGAACTGAACTGTATGGTGGATCATGAGAAGAGAATGTAACAGTATTGATTACAGCATACAGTCTGAGACCAATACAAAAAGAGTTAACTTCTTAGTTTTACATTTGATTAGTGGCCTACAGTGGAAACTTCATTTTTAGTTGCTCAAAATCTCTTTGTTTTACATTAAGCTGCTCAATTCGGTTTGAGCCGACATTATTTGTTATAAACTATGTCTAGAAGAAACATGTGGCAATTGTTCTGTCTTGGTCTACCACATGGAAGTAGAGGTTATTAAAGAAAAACAGTGCAAAATTCAACTCCCGTCTCTGAAAACAATCAAATAAAAGTGTTTCCTCTTCAGGGGTTTCCTCGCTGATGGTTACCTGAGTATTTTGAGGAAGCTCTTTTAATGAAACACACCAGTTTAATTGTTTAAATCTTGACTTTATTTGAAATAACATACACAACGGAGAGAAGACACATTATGAAGCAGTGCGGATGAGCATGTACACGTGTTTGTGACACACAGATCAGTACTTGCACTACATAGAAATTATTATTACTATTATTTTTACAGTATTGCCATACCCCTCCCCTTGGCATGTCTTGAGCGACTGATTTCCAATCAGCCTCAAGTCTCGGGAGGATTCAAACTATTTATCCGATTTGTAAAGAGTCCTCGACTTAAAAGCTTTTCCCTCAAACCGAGTCCTTTGCATTAAACGTTATAAGTTCCTGAGATCTTTCCATGGTATCATTGAGCCAAGTTTGGTCATTGTAGAAATACAACTCTGTTAAAATTTCACATCTTATAGGAAATGAAATCATCCACTGAAAAAAAAGGCAAAAAAAAAACGGAACGGAACGAACAAAGTAAAAGAGAAAAGTACATAATTACAGTTATTTCTGACTGGTGCAGCCCATCTCCAAGTGGACCAATAAGATTACACAATTTGCTCTCTTCAAGCTCCTCCCCCAGGCAGACATGCTCACTAGCACCTCCAGCTCTGATTGGCTGTAAAATCCACCCATCAGGCCCCAGTCGGCCCAAGCTGAGAGAGTATGTCTTTGTTCCTCTCCCTTTTTTTTAAATTCACCCAGAGTCTTTTCTATCTTTCATCCTTTTCTAACAGTCTCCTCAGGTTTTTCTCATCATTCGGCGCGTTTGCCAGGCTTGGAACTTGTTGTACGCAGCCTGAAGCATTTCCTCCAGGTGGCCCGTTAGCTGTTGCAATCAGAAAAAACAAGGAATTACTTACGTAGTGCATTAGAATATTTATAAATCCCCTTAAAAAAATTATAGACACCGTAAACCTCAAATAACATACATTTTACACAGGGAAACACTTTTCGTGAGCACTTTTAAGGGTCACACTCGTAACTTTTCTTAATGATAGGAATGTACTATGTTGTGTTGCAAAAATATTAATTATTGAATATTTTGAGGGGATTTCATGGACAGTGTTCACTATAAACTATGCACCATTTATTTCTATATAATGTAATAAAATAGTCTTTATGCATTAGAAAAAAGACTAAATGTAAAAATATTTAGCTGGATTTCAAAATTTCCCATTCATTTCCTACAACGATCACAAGTGTTGCTATTATCTAAGACCATCTAGCATTGTCAAATCATCATGTGTTCATTTAAGAAGTGCCACACAAGGAGGGTTTTTACACACAATTATGGAAATTGCATTAATTATTCATGTGTACTCGAAGCAGTATTCAGAGAACCCATTACAGTAAATGGAGGGGGCGTGGCCTTACGTTAGTGCTCAAATACTGCCGTTGGATCTTCTCTTGAAAGGGGCGGAGCTTCGTCAATTGGAATCTCTCCAGGTTAGATTTCATCTTCACCACCTGTATGCAGAAGGGAGCGACAGATAAAACAAATCATGTTGCGAAAAAACAATACAAGTACAAAAAATACACTAAGGCGTTCGATTAATTCGTTTTTAGAAAAATATAAAAAGCCTTTTTTTTGAAGGCTTGAATTAATCGAGTGCGTTGAATTGTTTTTCCAATGAGTGGAACCATCCCAACACCCAAAGAGCACAGAGATACTGAAAGTGCAGCACTTTCTACCTTCCTTGTATTTATGAAAATATACTTTTTATTTGGAAATATTTTAATTTGAAGCAATTGCAGGTGTGCTGCATGACCTTCTCCTCCAGGAAAGGAGTGCTGACGGGAAAACAGGACCAGAAGTGTCGGAGCAGCTCTCCAGCGGCCGTGTACAAGTGCTTCAGCTCGCCCTGAACATCAGTGGGCACTAATTCTATATGAATAAACACAAAGAAAAGAATAGATCAAGTTAATGGACAGTAATGAGACCTCGCACTGAAGTCTCAGCTGAGGCGGGTGCGTTTAATATTATTATTATAATGGGATGAATAGACAGTGCGAGGTCAAACACTGACGGTTAATGGTCTGTTGGCCTCCGCCCAGCATCAGAACTCCTCCAGGTGACAGCGCCGTGATGGCGGAGCTCGCTGCACTGCTGGACATCACCTAAAACAGGCCAGAAAATAAAACACAGTGTAGAATGCAAGCCTCGAGATCCACGTCGACCTCTCACTGGTGTACCTGCGTCAGGCGGGGTTTATAGTTCCTCATCTCCTGCTGGATAATGCTGACGGAGTTGATAATGTCCTGACTGGTGGTGTAATGCTGCGACTGCAGCGGAGTCGGGCCGTGGGAATATCTTACAGGAACAAACACATTAAACAAAAAGACTTAATATGAAGATCTGTAGATTATCTAAACATCTACACGGATTATGGCAGATGCTGAATAAAGACGCTGGGTGTTTACCTGTCTGATTTCTTCAGGTTCAGAGCGATGGTCTTACGCACACTCTCACCCTGAAGGTCATCATATTCTATGGCTTCCTGTAATTTCACCTGAAGAGACACAAAAAAACATGAGAATCTAGCGTTATTCATGTTTAAAAAAAAAAAGAAAAACGGATTAAATACTAACATTTCATTAACAATTATATATATATTTATTTTTAAATTAAATGTTTCAAAATGTGGATAATTATCAAAAGTCATTATTGTTAGATTTTTTTTTCGAAACCATAAACTGAGACATATGATTGTCTCATATGACAAAAAAATGTAATTATTACAAAAACACGACTTCTGAGATTTAAAATCTTTTCTTTGTATATATATATATATAACTATGAGAAAGCAATAATTATGATAAAAAGTTGAAACTTTGACAAAAAGTTATAATTATGACAATAACTCTTCATGCAGAAATTATGACTTCTCTCATAAATATGATTCACCTAAGCATAATTTTCAAAAATATGGAGAATTATAAAAATGCATTTATTATTATATAGCCCATTTTGCAAGATGTAAACAACACTGGTCACGAAACACTTCCTGTTTTATTTTGAAACTGTTTTCTTTATTTCGCATGTAAAGAAAACATCTCAAAGATGTTTGTTTAACTTTTTGATTCAGTTGTATTTTATCCCAGCTTTTATGTAGTGTTAAAAAACTGAAACAGGAAGTGCTTCTGGACCAGTGTTGTTTACATCTTGCAAAATGGTCGTATTTATAAAGCTACATTTTGCTACATCTGCTTTGTGTCGTGCCTGACGACATCCATAAATCCCTGTAATGCACAACCTCGAACCTTTTTGAGTGGCGGCTGAAAGAAATCTGAATCTCTGGAGTTCCCATCAGTGCTGCTGGTCTCACTGGCTTGATCACTGGGAGCATCCCTATATAACACACACACACACACAGCATATTAAACACATGCAAACACATGCAAACACGCACACTCGCTGCTGAGTCGCTTACGCTCTGCGAAGGCCGGCTGCCAGCACCATGGCACTGTGGTGGTTAAAGCGTTTGATTATGGCGGAGTTGCTGTTTTCTCTCAGTGATTTGTTTGAGGTGTTTGATGAAGTGGGAACTTTAGCTGTGCCGTAACCCTTCAGAGAAACACAGAGAGAACCAGTTTCACCAAACAATCCTACATGGAGAGGAACTGCCATTTAAAGTCTAACGCCACTCACCTCATCTAATGTCTTATCCTCGAGTGAGAGAAGATCCACCATTGGGTTCTTCACTCCTTGGTTCACCATAGATTTCTGACCTGAAAAATGTGAATAAACAAACTCAGACGCAGAAGAGCCATGTAACACGCTCAGATGATGTCACCAGTCCAAGGGAGATTCCTGCAGAGTATATCAGATCTCAAAACAGGTACAGTACCCTTCTCGTCCTGTTTGGCACACTCGGAGAAGATGTCCTGCTGGCCCGTGCTGATCCGGTCCCTGTGGAAGTAATGGGACTGAAAGAAGCGCGTCCAGAACTCCTTCTCCGTCATGTTGTGAGGAACGTTCTCAGCGTATTTCTGCTTGACTGCGATCAAAGACAGACAGAAAAGGGTCATATTCGACACTTTCATAGCATTTTATTTGTCCCTAAAGTCTCAAAACAGCTATAAATTCTGTAAATGAAGAGTTCAGATGCAAAAGCCTCTAAATGCCATTTGAAATTTTCTTCTAAAATGACCATTTTTATCAAGCTTGTATATTTAAGTTCAGTAATTTCACTTAAATGACAATTAATACGTAATCTTCATTGCCATTTAAGTGAAATCACTGAACTTAAATATACAAGCTTGATAAAAATGATCATTTTAGAAGAAAATTTAAATGGCACTTAGAGGCTTTTGCATCTGAACTCTTCAAATGTAAATGATGTTTGTTAACCCCTTAACTGTCACCGTCAGTACCGGGACGCCTAACTTTACTTCACTATATTTCTATTAAATCCTAATCTGATTATGACACATTATATATTGTTGGAAAGGTCTAAGACTTCTAAATAAATATTCGACCCCTGTTTTGTGTTACAAATTATGTAGGAAGAGTAATTGATGAATTTATGACAAGAGTGCACCAAAAAACAAATCTGCATCATAACAGGAGGTCTGACCTTTGTCACAAAAAGTTGATGCACCCACTTTTAATCATTGAAACTTCTGTTTATGCTAAAAGTTCATAATAAAACATATAATCTAGTATTTTTCAATAAAAAATAAAAAATTAGAGTATAACATTATCCTCTAAAAATTATAATATATAATAATGGTTGAGGAGATACCCCTCTCTATGTAAAGCGCTTTGAGTGCAGAGAAAAGCGCTATATAAATGTAATGAATTATTATTATTATTATTATTACCTTTTTCACTTCCTCCTACAATAAATCGTCATTGTAGGAGGAAGCCAAAAATACATTTTCTGGCTTTTCTCAGTCTAGAAAGCTTCAAATTCAAAACTAATTTCTAGATAAATGACCCATTTTATACACACATTCACCTTTCCAGAGGTGAAGTATCCCTTTAATCACATATCTCACCTGTAGGGTAAGTCCTGAAGATGGACTCGATGATGTCAGAGGTCAGATTGTACCGCAGGCCGTTGCATCCGTCTGTCTGTGGTCTGATGTCAGCCTGAAACCACGATCACATGATCATGAGGTGAATTTACACTGTAAATGCCCTCGTTAAATCACCATGATATCCATGCACATCATTATTATTTTTTCATTCATATGGACTCTAATTTTTAACAATCTTTAATCAGCTTTCCTGTAGCTCAAACAGTAGTAGAGCGTTGGCGCTTGCAACACCAAGGTCATGGGTTCGATTCCCAGTGAAAGCCAGAGCTGGTAAGAATGTGAAATGCCAAATGCAGAAATGTAAAACATTAACCTCCTCCAAAACACATCTGTTCTCCTCATGACGTGTGGACTAAATATCCTCCACAATCCGACATTCAGATCTGCGTCAATTTAGTTAGCAACGCCCAAATTCCTACAACCCAATCAATTCCTACATTTTTTTCTCATTCCAGATGCCATTTACCTTGGTGTATATCACAATCACAAATTCTGTTTCATGCCGATTTTAAACTGTTAGCCTTGTGATACGCTTAAACTCACCAGGAAGGCAGCAGAGATGCCCACTTCCTGTTGTTTGTTGTTGGCGAGGGAGTGCTCCACAGAATTCAGGCTCATCCGATTGGCCCAGAACTCCTCAGCGCTGATCACCTGACTCACCACTAAGTCCTTATAGAGCTGGAACAGAACAGGGTCTTCCTGCAACATCCTGAAACATAACGCATCAGCTGGAGGTCAACCAACACCGATTTGCTGATTAGGGCTGGGTAATAAATATAGATTTCTCGATATTAATCGATTATCATTTTTACGAACCGATATTGATTCTTAAATCTCAAGAATCGATTAGTCATCCTGTTTCATTTGAATGAATGGATCATTGTATCGCGGCTGCGCGCATCCAAAAAATCGTAATAATCTTTGTCCTTTGTTACTATTGATATGAAACAAAGTCTCAATTTTCAAATTACGTCCATTTTCTTTAGAAATTCAAAAACATAAATAACGTTTTGTCACAGCGCCAAATAAACATGAATGAGCATCTGAAAGTGTGTTAAAGATAGATGACAAATTATCGAAATCCGGATCATGTCACATTGATTCGCTCAATCAGCGTTTCAACCGTGGAAAGACGTCAGTTAAACAGCTTGTAATCAATGTATCGTCATATTTACCTCAGAAAACCCACATAAACTCGTTAGTCAGCTAGAAAAAATAACTCTAGAGAGGAGCATTTTGCTAAATATATTCACCATATTACATATGCATTATAATCTTAATGTTCTTAATGCATATTTGAATAAATCTGGCAAGTTTTTATGACAGCCACCATTTAAATGCTTATATTTCATATAATCTTCTTCTTATAAAAATAAATAAAAGTGTAATTTAAGTGTTTGTATAGTTCCTTATTACCTTCATATTAGGCTAATGAAGCCTATAGGCTACAGCTAGACTCCCATAGTTTACAGCATTAGTTAAGAGATATCCAAAATAATCAATATTGAATCGAAATCGAATTGAATTGCAAGCTTGTGAACTGAAATCGAATCGAATTGTGAAATTTGTGTCAATAATACCCAGTCCTATTGCTGATGTTGTTATAGTGACACAATAATGAGATGCGAGCTAAACTTCACCTGTTCTTCTCCTCCAGCTCTTTATTGGCTTTCTTCTTGAACTTGGGCAGGAGCTGCTGTAGCAGTTCTTTGATGGCGTCTCTGTCCTTCAGTGCGGTGCTCTCATTGGCGAAATGAAAGGTGCTGCTTTCTCCAGTGTGCAGAACCAGCTGGAGCTGGATCTTCGCCTTTCCATCAGGACTGATCTTTTGACCTGCACAGGTATAGAAGAAAAAAAGTCAACAAACAAATAAATATATATACACACTGATGAGCAAACACATTATGACCAGTCACAGGGGAAGAAAATATCATTGATCATCTCCTAACAAGGCCACATATAAAAAGGGATAGTTGACGTTGAAATTAATTTTTGGTGTGTTTTATCTTACCTCAAGGGCATCCAAGATGTAGGAGTCTTTGTTTCCACAGTAGTTTCAATTTTGATATTTTTAGGTCAAAGCGTTCTTGTCTGTCAGTATAATGGAGGTCTATGGTCACCACCTCAAAGAGCATGCACAGAGAAGTCCAGATTAAACATGATTAAATGACTTGTAAAAGACACAAAACGAGCGGTTTGTGTGAGAAAACGAACAGTATTTATATCGTTTTTACCTCTTGTAACCACAGCCACGTCCAAGTGATCTGAGGGCGCGGGCGCTTTGTGGCTGTGGTTACAAGAGGTAAAAACGATATAAATACTGTTCGTTTTCTCACACAAACCGCTCGTTTCGTGCTTAGGCCATTTACGAGTCATTAAATCATGTTTAATTTGGACTTCTCTGTGCATGCTCTTTGAGGTGGTGACCATAGTCTTGCAGAGTTTACCTCCAAGTACCCTCCAGGACCGAGTTTGGTGACCCACACTAAACAAACCCAAATGAGGCTGAAATGTGGGTGTAACTCACAGCGGATGTCGGCATAAAGGTGGCTGACCGAAAAGCGGTCCTTCCCTTCTGGACCCCAGGCGATCCGCTCGGCCATCAGGTACAGAGTCCCGTCCTGCTTTCTCTGACGGACCCTCTTCACCACCAACAACACCTCCTCGGACAGAGACGCCATGGCTACACAAACAAAGGGACGTCCAATCCTCATTATTAATGCAGGACAGTCTATTATGTGAACATAAATTGAACTTCCTTATTAAAAATGGCTCATCACATAGTTTGTGAAGGAAACAATGCACTCAAAAACTTGTGAAGAAGCTGCATTTAGCAGCTCTCAGTAAACAAAACATGCAGAAATTAGAGACAAAAGAGCCAATAATCAGATTCAAGACAGATATTAAATATCTATATCTGATATTAAGTCAGATATGACAACAGATTCAGATCAGACTCAGAGTAGAAATCGAGTCAGATATGACAGATTCAGATTAATCCGATATTAAATCAGATTCATATCAGATGGAGCTAACAGTACTAGCGCATGTCACTTATTCTTCACAAAACCCTTTGTTAAAGTCAATTATTTAAGACTCATTCTCAGTATAGGCAGAAATACAGAATCTAAACTAGTGTTTAGACACAACAAAACACATTTTAAAAGGTGAAGAATCTGAAATCTGCAACTGAAAGCTGAACTCACGCTCACTGCCGGTGACTTAGTTTAATTAACTGTTTTATTTCAATTTAATAAACCCTCACCTGGCGCTCCAAAGCAGCTGAAGCTGAAGCCTCAATATTGATCTTGTGGCAATCGAAGTGAAATCAGTGTTAATGTCAGTATTTGTGTTTTATTTACAGTCGTTACGGACGCCGTGAGTGACAGCAGCTCTCAGATCCGCCTTAGAAACAAAGTGAAGCGAGAAAGAGTGACGCGCTTCCTCATAATGGCGGCAAAACGGAATATACTTCAACATAAAAGTGCTGTACACGATTCCATTTTAATAATATAATATAATAGAACAGTAATAGAATATAACGGCAATAGAATATAATATAATCATAGACTTCTAAAAAAAATAATATAGAACGCTCCGTATTACAATCATAAAACATATCGATTGTGTTTTTATTTAGAACACAACCTTTATTTTGACAGCGGACATCGCTCGTGTTCCGACTACTTTCCTTATTGGTGCTGATGGGACGAAAATACAACTTTTACACATGAAAGCAAGTGACACTTCTTTCTTTGTGTTCATCACCAGAAGAATGAATTGGTTTGGTTTTGGTTTCAATGGCTTTGGTCAGATACGGCCGGCAGATGTAACCTGTAAAGTGAACACACCTGTCCTGATTTCAGATGTGTGTAGATCAAACTGTAGAGTAAGAGCCAGCTGGAGCTCCAGAGCGCATGTGCATCACTCAGACGGTAAGTGATAAAAACATATTTTCTTAAAAAGATGATTTTACTTTGCTTGGTTTTTCTACAATATTAGTCACATTTACTATACACTACCTAAGCTATGATAAAATAAAATAACTGGTAACACTTTACTTTACAGTAAGGTCCATTAGTTAACTACCGCAGTTACCGTAGATTTATATATCCAATTTAAACATTTACTAATACATTATTACAATCAAAGGTTGTATTAGTTAACATTAGTTATTGCACTGTGAACTAACATGAACAAACAATGAACAGCTGTATTTTTATTACTAACATTAACAATGATTAATAAATACTGCAACAAATGTATTGCTCATTGTTAGTTAATAATTTTAACTAATGAACCTTATTATTTTGTATTAATATTTTAAAATGATTAATATTTTGTGCATAACATATACATTTTCTGCATATCCTTTGCTCACATATACCGTATTATATCTAACTACTTATCAGGTGGCAGTCATGTGTGTGTGTCAGGGTTCGGGTCCGGGTCATCAGAACAGGTGTGTGAAGACACTGTTCCAGAGAGTCGGGGGTGCGCAGACGCTCTCATCAGCGAAACACACCTGACGCTCAACTTCACAGACAGAGTGGAATGCTGGGAAATACAGAAGCCACAAAACAAGCTTGTGTGGAAGAGGGAGCAAGACCTCTCTGGCAATACCGGTAATATATAGATGTGCTCAGCCGAACACTCCCCCGTTTTTTCATATTAAAGGCTTAGTTCACCCAAAAAATTAAAATTATGTCATTAATGACCAAGCCCGTTCATCTTCAGGACACAGTTTAAGATATTTTAGATTTAGTCTGATGCTTTCTGTCCCTTCATTGTAAATGTGTGTACGGTATACTGTCCTTGTCCATAAACAGTACACATTTACAAAGAAAGCTCTCGGACTAAATCTAAAATATCTTAAACTGTGTTCTGAAGATGAACGGAGGTCTGACGGGCTCGTCATTAATGACATAATTTTAATTTTTGGGTGAACTAACCCTTTAAACAGGACAAACCGTCCCGCTGCCGTTGGTGCCAGGCGGGTACGTCATGCCCAGATCTCCTTTCTTCCGCGCGCTGTGCTCTGAGCTGTGTGTCGTGAGCCTGGCGTTGGGCACAGGACACGCGGTGCTGCTGACGTCAGTCGGGACTGTGTATTCCTGGGGATCTGGAAGGTACGAGGAAGATTGCCAGTATTAATCATTTAATTAACACTTTACAATACGGTTTCATTAGTTGACGACATTAGTTAACATGAGCTAACAATGCAAAATACTTTAGCATTTATTAATCTTAGTTCATTTTAGTATTTAATAGTATTTAATGTTAATATTATTATTTAATAGACCCTTGGCTAACATGAACTGTTATATTTTTATTTACTTATACTGTAACAATGCTCATTTTTTTCGTTAATGTGAGTTTATGCTTTAAGGAATGGCTATATTGCCCAAACATATATATATATATATATATATATTAGATTAATTGTAGATCTAATCTGGATTTATTGGTGAGTCTCACAAAACCTGTCAAGAACATATCTTTGTCATTTTTATAAATTTAAGCATATTTAGAAAAATATTCATGGCAATTTACCCACTGGTGCTGTTTTTTTTTTTTTTTTTTTACTTTATCTCAACCTCAAATTTGGAAACCAGCTTGTTTAGATTTATTTATATATTTAGATATATATATATATATATATATATATATATATATATATTAGCTTTGGTTCCCTCTAATATAAATGTCTTTTTTAAGTTCACTTTTTTACTTTTTGCCAAGTGTCTTTATGACGGTTAGTTTATGGCAGTTTATGTTGGAAATTTCATTTATTTACAGGTAATAAATGGATTATAAGTATTGCATACATATGATTGGGGACCATAAAAACCCTTAAAATACAAAATATTGAATTAAAAACATTATCGAACTAAAATATAGTACATTCATTTCAATTTGGTTATTAAAAAAAAGCTAATATAAATATTAGATGAAAAACTTAAAAAAAAAACTTAAATAGAAAAATTGCCATTGCAACTAATTGAAATAAAATTAGTTTAGATTTAAGTAATACAATTGCGAAAATTTTAGTTAAACAAAAATATAAAAACAAAAATAAAATTATTAAAAATACTAAAATTTAAATAAAAAGCAAAATTCTAAAAATAAAAGCTAATTCTACATTTTAATAGATACTATAATAGTTCATAAATATTGATAAAATAGCACAAAATATGAAAAAAAATATTATTTAGTATTTGTTGTACCACCTCTAATTTATACAAAAAAATTTATTAAAAAAATTTATACAAAAAAATGTTGTATTACAAAAAAAAGGCCTTTTCGAGACTACATCATTTTAAGCATTATTTATTTCGTTTGGTGTAAAACGTGCTCGATGTAGTTCGCATGATGAATGTTTTTAAGATGGTGTGTTGTTTTGGCAGTCACGGTCAGCTGGGTCACGGCGCGCTGGCGTCGCAGGACGAGCCTCAGGTCGTGGAGGCGCTGTGGGGCGTCCCGATGCGAGCAGTGTCCGCTGGGAGCTGGCACTCCGCTTCTGTCAGCAGTGAGACTATCACACTCACACTCCCCATCAAATCCAGACGTTTGCTTGCTCTCTGTGAGCATACTGTAAACACACTGCTAAAAATGGCTTGTTTTCAGTCTAAATATCGATAAAATTCTTATCGATAATATCGATAAAAATATCGATAAAATTTTAAATAATAAAAATTCTTAAATCAAGCATTTACTGAAGTAGTAAAATGCCATAAGATGTTATGTCCTGTTTTATGGGGAAATGGGGTAAGAAAAATGATCTTAATTCAACTGGAAGCAATATGTATATTTTTTTTTTACCCTGTTGGCAGATGATTTTACTTGTTTTAGGCAAAAACTCGACTTAATATCTTATGTTATCTTACTCATCTAGTAAATGCAATTTGATTTAAGAATTTTGAGATATTAAGATTGGAATCAAGACAAAAATACTAAGTACGGATATAAATTTTTGCAGTGGACTCAAAATTATTATTATTATTTTTTTATTTATTTATTGAATAAAAAAATAAATAAAATGGCAGTGATTATCTTAAATCGTAAAAATTTTTAAAGGGAGTGAAACAGTGTTTAATTGTATTATTTGGTTAATTATGTGTTTTTAAAGGGATACTTCATGTCTCGAAAGATGAATGTGTATTTAAAATGGGTCATTTATGTAGAAGAAATGACATTATTTTTGAATTTCGGAGCTTTCGAGACTGATAATAAAGCCAGAAAATATATTTTTGGCTTATGTGGATGAAAGACATCAACTCCCAGAATGCACTTGCTTCGCTGCCCTAGGAGGCCACACCTACCGGTAACAGAGCGTTGTAGTTAAACAACAAGTCTAGGCTACTAGTGAGTCTCCGTGATGAGTCTGCCTGAAAATGTGTTTCGAGATCGCCCAAAATGTCCAGGATTGGGCTTTTGCGTTCTACAGTCGCCATTCATTATGTAGCTTCCAAAAAAAGACACTATGTGTTCATTCTGTGAGTGAGATCGCCCTCTATGGGCGGGTAGTCTGACTGTAGTCTTTAGCCTCTGGACAAAACATCCATATTAATTGTAATTCGAAATTACTACAGGTTTTCTACTAACACAAAGCTTAATGATAAATCCTGAAGTATCCCTTTAAGCATAAATGTGAAAGTATCTATGTCACCGCTCTGTGACAAACAGCATGGACAATAAAGTTCAACTCAACTCTACTGACTGTTCATCTGAAATCGGTCTGAAATAAATGTTTATTGTGTTTAGCTGGCGGGGACCTGTATATCTGGGGCTGGAATGAAAGCGGGCAGCTCGGTCTGCCATCTAGAGGCCTGGAGGAGGAAAAACACAGAGCAAAAAGCGATGGTAAAAGGACTAAAACTAAAAATAGGACTATGAATTTACATATGAATGTTTACTCAGGGCTGCCAAGTCTCACTCATCCATTTTTGGATTAGAGCGGTAAACAAACTTCTGTCAGTGTTATTCAAACAATAAATAGCGTTTTGCCGAACCTCAGTTCAACCGATCATCTCTTCCTCTAGCATGAAATAAATAGGGATGGAATTTTTATAAAATAAGAATTTTTAATGTTATTGTTATCAGCCCGATAAGAAAATATATTAAAGCGGAGAAATAATGTATTATGTCCTTCAGCTGAGACACTTCAGATGCGACTGTTCAACGTGATGGTTTTAAATTGGTTGAAATATGAGTGAAATCTGTTTGTGTTTAGGAAACACTGTCCAGACCATAAATAAAGATGAAAAGGACCACGCCGATACGTTCATCTCAATTCAAGCGTTCCCTGCTCTAGTGGACGTCCCTGATGTGTCGGAGATCAGCAGGATCAGCTGTGGGTCACGTCACACAGCCGCCGTCACAGGTGACGTCACCGGGAGCGTGAACTGGACTCGAGGATGGACATGAAATATCATGACTTTATTATTTTCTTGTTTCTTTGTAGGTACAGGGGATCTGTACACCTGGGGATGGGGTAAGACTTCGCTTGTTTTATTTTTTATTAAATGTAAATTAACGTAAATAGACTGACTGATTTAAGATTTTTTTAATGTTTTTAAAGAAGTCTCACCAAGGCTGCATTTGCTACAAAAATACAATAATGAAATATTTTTCACAAATATATTTTTTTAGTTTAATATGTTAAAATGTAATTTATTCCTGTGATCAAAGCTGTCATTACTCCAGTCTTCAGTGTCACATGACCCTTCAGAAATCACTCTAATATGATGATTTGCTGCTCAATAAAGTTTTATTATTTATTATCAATGTCAAAAACAAGTTGTGCTGCTTCATGAGTTGATGGCTGTGATTTCTGTTTGTTTTTATGACCCTTCAAGTATGATTAAACCAACAACATATAAATATGAAGGAAAAACATGGTTATGACAACAGCAAAAACTTGGTTATGCTATTTATTGTTTGGCAAAAATGGCAGTTAGTTTTATTTTACTATGTAAAAATGCGCTTTAAAAAGCCCACAAAAAGCTCACACTGACCACAACATAATCAGTTATTAATATTTTTTGGCTCTCTTGTTTTTGACGTGTTCATAATTTCTTTGCATGACATGCTGGTCAAAAACTATGTCTCCTCAATTTAAGATATTTTATGGTGTTATTACAAATAAATCAATTCACTAATACACAATATGTTTACAAAATCACCTTTTTATTATTATATTTAAATAAAGGGTGAAGATTTCAATTTTCAGAAAGAGTGTATTGTTTCAAATAGAATCTCTTGTAACACATCATAAATGTCTTTACTGTCACTTTTGAGTCCTTGCTCGCTGAATAAACCTTCTGATTGGTTGAGAAGGTTTTTTTTCTCTCAAAAGGTTTTGTTCCAATTGTTGTTTCAAAAGTGCTAAAAGTTGCCTTTCCTCCGTCTGTCACATTATTAGGTCATTATGGACAGCTGGGACACTGCAGTGAAGATAGCACAGATGAGCCGACGCTGGTGGATTATTTCCCTACGCACAGCATGTGTGTTCAGGACGTTGTCTGTGGGTTATGGAACACGTTTGTGTCCGCTGTGCCGAAAGAACAATCTCCGTCCTGACAGAAACGGACCCATTTCATACCAGGATGTCAAAGTTGCAGTATTAAGAGTTTATTAAATTAGGTACAAATATATGATGTAAAATACAGGATAGAAAGTAGAGTTAGTAAAAAATGTTTCAAAAATATAAACAGTTGAAACATTAAATGAGAGAATACATTCACATGCTACATTATTGACAGATTAAAAGCTCAGGTGAAAAATCTGGACCGGAGAGAGACGCTTCCATTCGGTGGAAACTTCACAACACAATCTTGAATGAACTGCAAAAGAACATCGTCAATCAGTGAGGATCGGGACAACTGCGGCCTCATGAGTTCACAAGTCACAATTATCCTGTCATTTTGTTTAGGCAATTTCATATTTCTTTCTCACTTCTTTTGCTTCACTACAAAAACAGGATACTTTTTTTCACTAACACAAAATGTAATATAAAAATGTAATATAAAATAAAAAATGTAAAAAAAAATGTAATATAATAATAGCTTTGAAATGAAGTGTGTAACTGATGCTTTGTGTATTTTATCATTCTCATGCTGCAACATAAAATGATGGGAAATTATATTTTATCATGTAAGCCAAATAAAATGTTTTGTGAAATGTTTAAAATTAACAAAAAAATAAATAAATTAATTTTAAAATAAATTAATAAAGCTATATATATATATATATTACTAATATAAGTGATAAAAGCATGTAACATAATTACTAAAATAAAACTGAAAATATAAAATAATCAAATGTAAATATTAATAAATGCTATATACAGTATATCATTTATACTAAAATAAAAATATTTTATCACTCATTTAGTGATTTAGTATCGTATTATTTTTCAGCAATTCACTAAATAACACAAACTAAACTGGGCTGCGTTTCCCAAATCATAGTAACCCGACAATAATTTACACGACATCACTGTACTAAAAACGTTTTTCGTGTCCAAACGACAGCATTGTTAAAACGATCCCATACGGATCCGAAAACGATTAAAAATCGCTGTATTCTGCTGCCAGGCCAGTAGATGGCGATCTCACTGTAAAGAAACACTATGCGTCTATTAGAGACTAAACACGTTACACCGTTTTCACTAATTCACGTTTTTTGTATTTTACACGGAGCCAATAACATTACGATGTAAATGTACGGCCAAAATGTAGAAAGCGTTTTCATTTTTAGTGGAAAACTGTGTCGTGCAAAGTTGATTGTCGAAGTATTGCCACCGATGCTTTTGAGAAACGCAGCCCTGTACAATAAACATTCGTAATTAAAACTTATTAAACTAAAGGCAGCAGCTGACCAATTTGTAAATAAAATACATTAAGCGAAATTCTCTCACCTGACAAAATCTGGAGATCTGGAGATGACGTGCTGAAATTCGGAGAGGTTCACCGTTCCATCTTTATCGATGTCCGACTCCTCCAGGATCTGCACGATTACATTTGTTCACGTTAGTAAAGTTAATCTGCCAGATGTCTTTCTCGTTGGTCATGTGTGTATCCACCGGACTCACGTTGCTTATGAGCTGCCTCATCTCCTCTACAGTGAGGCGAGTGTCGTCCGTCTCGCCCGTCAGGCAGTTCACCAGCTTCTCCAGATCTCGAGCATCAAGTGTGCCGTCATCGTCAAAGTCTGCGGCGAAACAGAATAATGTTCAAGAACTGCTGCTCGGTTCACACTTGGTTCGGTTCGCTTGGTCGGGACTTGATGCTGTACTGAACTGTGATGGGCAACATCACGACTATTACACTATTTACTGTTTTAATCCAACCAAACATGCCAAGTGTAAACACACCCTAAACCTCAATCTTTTCCATTTATTACCAAAGATCCGGAAGGCGTAATGGGACTTGATTTCCAGCGTTGCAGAATCGCTGAAGGCACTCAAGAGGTCCAGGAAATCCTCAAAGGACAAGCTGCCATCCCTCAAGTCACAGGTCGAGAAGACGTGACAAATCCTTTTCCGGAAGGGGTTCGACTGTGAAGGATCGAAACAACGATAACAGCATATATACAGTTGAATAGGTGAAGGATTATAAGAAATTAGAAAATGAACCCTATTTTAAGAAACATTATGGTTTCTAAATTGTGACCAGAGTACAGACTTTATCGTTTACCTTCAGTTCAGGAAGCGTGAGGATCTTCTCCATGGACACCCTGGAGCTGTACGGCCCATTTTCTCTGCCCTGGAGCTCGGAGAATCTTTTGTGTGCCCTAAACAAAGTATCAAATGATAATCAATGACAATAGTATCGTTACATTGAATGTCATTATCAAAGCAATGACATTCAAACACTTTTAAGTGTTAGTTAAGCATCCAAATAAGTTCAGAGCCACTTTCAATAACTTTACTGTATGTTTATGTAGTTTAGTTATCATCACAACACGTAAATTAATTCCTTGCTGTTAAAAAAAATTACTTTACAAGGAATGCCCAAGCAAAATGTACCAGATGTGAAAATATTAATACAAATATAAGAATCAGGATAACACTTTGTTTTAAGGTGACATGTTACTACGTGTACTTTAGTAATAACAGTAAATTAGGCAAAATTACAAGTAACTAACCCTTAACTTAATTGTAACTCTATAGTAAGTACTTAGTTAATTAATATGAATATTTGAGTAAGTCCAATGTAACTACGTCACCTTAAAATAAAGTGTAACCAAAATCAGTTTTGGTTAAAAGTTAAAATATAAATATTAGGTTAAAAACTTAAATGAAAATTACAATGGTATTGGCAGATGACTGGAATAAAATTACTAAAATAAATAAAATTGAATAGAAATATTAAAGATATACTTAAAATTGTAAAACAGTTTAGATATGAAAAAATTAAGTACATTATGACTTTACTTACAGTAAGATTTCTTGCTTGGTGAGAAATGTAAGCTCCTGTGTTACACAAAAAGGAGAAAATATAAACAAATAAAAGCAACTCCTCTCTATGAAAAATACATTTATGTTCATAAATAAATATATTGCATATGTCTGTCTCACCTGATACTCTGATAGAAGATCTTTCGGCAACTTACTCGCGGTTCCCCCCATTACCGCCTGCTTTTGTTCTGCACGAATAGTACTTTAGCTCTAAACTACAAAAAAAGTGGATTAAAGTTACTATTGTTTCATAAAAACCAAGACAACTGGCTGAAGTTTTGCTGTTTTTAGCCAACAGGCTAAACAAACTTTGGTCGAAAGGCTCACGCTTCCGCTTCCTGGATGACGTCAGTTGCTATGGAAACAGATTTGGCGTTCAAAGACCACAATGGATTTTTCTCTTATCTTCTTTTAGATGGGATTTTTTTTTTATTACAAGGAAATAATGTTTAGTTGTAATAAAAATACCTTCTGCACATCTATGTTTTTATGTGGAGGATAACTGTGTGATTGTCAGTGATTAGGGAACTAACAGATTTGAACTTTACCCTATACTACATTTTTAACGTTACAGTGTTATTATAACAAGCAGTGAATAATACTAATGATCAACGTGTATTTAATACATAATAATTTCTGGAGAATCTGATTACCTTGTTATTGTATGTTAGTTCTAATGTGTCTATGGTTTATGATTGTGATGTCATATATTATTCTGACCAAATGTTGGGAAGGAAACACGTTAAATTATTCATATCATATCATGTTGCCCCGTCTTGGATCTGCAATTTGCCAATAATTTCAGAAGGTGGCGTCACATCACAAATAATAAATTATCATGCCAACTACGTATTCATTTATATTTATGAAATAAATAAACATTTTATAGCAATTAATCTTCTTAGGTGATCAAGGTTATTTTGAGGTTTTAATATTGTGTTATGCTTTTAATTCGATAGTGAGACGTATGAGTAATTCGCTCTAAAAAATGCTAGGTTATTTCAATCCATGTTTGAGTCAAATAAAGACAAACCCAGTTGGTTTTAAAAACATAAATAAAAAAATTAAACCAAATAAAAGCACATTTTGCTTTTTTTTCACCTGGAGCTCAAAAACATACATTTATGTTTTTCGTGCTGTGAAAACATGTAATAATAACTATAATAGAGGATCAAGTTTTGCGGGATCGGGATGAGTTTAGCACGTTGGACCTTTTCTCGAGGTCCATCCAGCTCTACTCGCAGTCATCCGCCCCCCATGACGTAGGCTTCTCCCACAATCCCTCGCGCGGTCACATCATGGCGGACGAGCTGGCGAAAGAGCAGCAGTCCGTAGCTGCAAAAATGCAGATTTTACCGAACGGAGACTCTCACCTTCCCAAAGTAGACGCGGATCCCGTGGACGAAACCGGGAAGAAGAAGAAAAAGAAGAAGAAGAAGGGAAAAGCGGCATCCGTAGGTAATAAAGACGGAGGAAAGTGTCTCGTGGCCCTGCCTTTTACTGCCCTTTCTGATTAACGTTCACCCATTAGAGCTCGCTATTCTAATATCTAAATCAGAGGACATTCTTTGACTAGAGACTAAACGTGTTTTAACACACCTTCGTGTTTATCTCATGCTCTGGAGTGTTATGTTAAAGGCTGGTTGAGGGATTAAACTAGGCAGTTGTGTAATGTTGTTATGTGACTCCACGTGCGTTATATGTTGCATTACAAAACCTACATACATCGAATTGCCTGGACTATTCTGCAGAAGTGTAAAGAGTCCCTGAAAACCATACTCAATAAAAATACAGATGCCACACAGGAAAAAATGATCCATGACAATTTACCAGTACCGCTTGAGCATTTGATTTTAACTGTACTTTAGTATTTTGTACTCATAATGAATTTAGGTGAAATGCCAGTGAAAAACAAGGAACAGTTGATTTGGGAGGAGAGCGATCATATTATGTTTATTAACAGTTGCAGAAATAAACTGCTGAAGATAGTCATGCAAAATGTAACAAGAAATCGCATAACTCATTACAGATATATTGGAGTAAAGAGTACATGAAGAGTTCAAATGCAAAAGCCTCTAAGTGCCATTTGACATTTTCTTCTAAAATGATCATTTTTATCAAGCTTGTATATTTAAGTTCAGTAATTTCACTGAAATGGCAATGAAGATTACCTATTAATTGTCATTTAAGTGAAATTACTGAACTTAAATATACAAGCTTGATAAAAATGGTCATTTTAGAAGAAAATTTCAAATGGCATTTAGAGGCTTTTGCATCTGAACTCTTCATATATACTTAATCAAAAATGTAGTCAAGCAGACAGTTGAATTTGCTAATAACGGTACTCTAAAAAGTAACCGTATTACATCCACTCAAATACTTTACTGCTATTCTGCATAGGGAACCATGAGGGTGAAGGAGAGTCGGACATCACCAAAGTGGCCAAACAAATGGAGCGACAAACTTTAGAAGACCAAGAGAAAGAAGACGAGCCGGAGGAAGGTTTGTCTAAAGTTAATTAAACATACCATTACAAATCCGTTTGCGACAAGCGTAGGTTTGAGCACGAATCTTGCTGATTTATTTTGGCAGATGGTGAGGAGGGAGATTCCACTGGAAAGAAGAAGAAAAAGAAGAAGAAAAAGAAAGGCCGTGAGTGATTTATTCAAGTACTTCATACTGTATACACAATGCCCGGATGTTTATGTAGTTCATATTCCTTGTTCTTTTTCAGCCAAAGTTCAAACAGATCCTCCGTCTGTTCCCATCTGTGAGCTTTACACCAGTGGAGTTTACGCCAAAGGCCAGGAATGTGAATATCCACCTCTGCAAGATGGGTACTGACAACAGCCGCTTATTGACACACTCGAAGACCTGTGGTCAACCAGTCTGAAGAAACATTACAGTGGATGTGTGTTATCTTTGCAGACGGTCTGCGGCGTGGAGGACGACCAGCGAGGAGAAGAAGTTTTTGGATCAGGCGAATGAGGACATGTGGAATGACTTCAGACAGGCTGCCGAGGCTCACCGGCAGGTCAGGAAGTACGTCATGAGCTGGATCAAGCCGGGCATGACCATGATCGAGATCTGGTGAGCAAAACCATCATGAGCTTTACTGTATGGGCTGGAAACTCATTAAATGTGATATAAAACCTTTTGGGCTGCATTAGTAAATGCAAAAATGTCTCTATTAAATTCTCTCTCTATATATACATATATATATATATATATAATTTATTTATATAGGTTTTTTTGGGCTGCACAATTTGGAAAAAATTGTGTGATTATTTATATGGCTGTAAAATATTATTTTTAATTATTTATTTTTATTTAATATTATCTAATTATTATTTAATATTACATTATTAATATTGTACATCAATATGTTATTATTATTATTATTGCTAAATATAAAACTTGCTAAGCATGTTTGCTGGTGTCTTAATTTCTTTTCCGCCAAACTTTAAACCATCAAAAATTTATTTTGACAGAACTGAAAGCTTCTTTTATTAAGGACTTCTTATTTTATCATTTTCAATCCTTATATATATATATATATATATATGTGTGGGTATTTATATATACAAATTAATTATACACACTACACACGCATATATTATGTAAACACAAACTTTTATTTTGGATGCGATTAATCGTTGCCCATCCCTAGCTGCAATTATGGCTGTAATATTTCTCAACAATAAAACCTCAATGCGATTTAATATAGTATACATACATTGCGTTTCAAAGTGAAGTCAACAAATTTGGGTCGCTTTAACATCCTTTTTATGAATGCAACATCTTTCCAGACTTGTCATTTATTTATTTGTTATATATATATATATATATATATATATATATATATGTGTGTGTGTATGTAGAGCATTGGCTGCTTGAAATTGTATCAGTGTTACTCTGCATTGTCCCTGTTAAATAAACAAATAAATAAATGACAAGTCTGGGAAGATGTTGCATTCATAAAAAGCATGTTAAAGCGACCCAAATTTGTTGACTTCACTTTGAAACGCAATGTATGTATACTATATTAAATCGCATTGAGGTTTTATTGTTGAGAAATATTACAGCCATAATTGCAGCTAGGGATGGGCAACGATTAATCGCATCCAAAATAAAAGTTTGTGTTTACATAATATATGCGTGTGTAGTGTGTATAATTAATTTGTATATATAAATACCCACACATGCATGTATATATTCAAGAAATATGTGCATGTATATATTTTATATATATTTATTCACAATTAATATTATATATAAATATAAATATTTGATATATTAATAACACATTTTTCTTAAATATATACATGCATGTGTGGGTATTTATATATACAAATTAATTATACACACTACACACACATATATTATGTAAACAAACTTTTATTTTGGATGCGATTAATCGCGATTAATGGTTGCCCATCCCTAGTTGCAGCAGTTCCATATTGACACTCATTGGCACTAATCCACCATTCACATCTTGTTTTGTCGCTGACAGTGAGAAACTGGAGGATTGTTCCAGGAAGTTGATCAAGGAAAATGGTCTAAATGCTGGTTTGGCTTTTCCGACCGGCTGCTCGCTGAACCACTGCGCGGCTCACTACACTCCTAACGCCGGAGACCCCACCGTTCTCCAGTACGACGACGTCTGCAAGATCGACTTCGGCACGCACATTAATGGTGCGGCTTTAATCATTCCTTATCTGGCTTGACTACTTCCTGGTGCTTTTCTTGCTGATCTTTAGAGATGTTCGATTATTGTGGCATTCCAGGTCGAATCATTGACTGTGCCTTTACCGTCACCTTCAACCCAAAGTACGACAAACTGCTGGAAGCTGTGAAAGATGCCACAAATACTGGAATTAAGGTAGAGTCTCTCACCTTTGTGCATTGTGATAATATTTTCGTGACATGACACATTTATTTTCTTTGTCAATGTTGTTAATCTTTGCCATATTACAGTTAAATACAGTAAAAAGTACAAAAATACTTTATTCTTGTAATGGCCAAGCTGCATTTTCAGCGTCACTACTCTTAAAGGAGTAGTTCACTTTTAAAAAAATCATGTCATCCGAGATGTCCATGTCTTTCTTTCTTCAGTCGAAAAGAAATTAAGGTTTTTGATGAAAACATTCCAGGATTTTCTCCATATAATGGACTTCAATGGGGTCCAAACGGTTCAAGGTCCAAATGAGAGTTTCAGTGCAGCTTTAAACGACACCAGACGATGAATAAGGGTCTTATCTAGCGAAACGATCGCTCATTTAAAAAATAAATTAAAAAAATTAAGTTTTATAAGCTCAAATGCTCGCCTTGCTCTGTTCTGTGATGC